ACGCATGCACAATTAGTTGAAACTATGGGCATGGATGACATTCCCCAAGAAGAGTACATAGTGTGGACAGGGAGAGCCTTAAGGTAGAATAACATAATGAAGTCGGCTGTCTGTTTGTCTTCGATCTGCCATTTTACAAGTGTGCACCTTGGGAAATTTACTTAATGTCTCTGTGTCTATTTGTTCCTTGTAAAGTGTGAAGAGTAATGGTACCTAACTCATAAAGTTTTTGTATTAAATGGCAAGATACATACACCACACTCAAAGCTCTGCCTGGCACAGTCTTAGCACACAGTGACTGTTAGTGCTATTATTTTTAATTTTTTAAAAAAGATTTAAAAAATTGATTTTGAGAGAGAGTGAAGGGGAGAGGGAGAGACAGAGAAACACTGATGTGAGAGTGAAACATCCAGTGAAACTGTCTTCTGCATGTCCCCAACCAGGGATCAAGCCCACACCCCAGGCATGTGCCCTGAGCAGGAATTGAACTGGCAATCCTTCGGTACACAGGATGATGCTCAGCCAACTGAACCACACTGGCCAGGGCTGTTAGTACATTTATTAAGTGAAAGAGCCAGTGAAAAAAATAAAGAGAGGATGAGAGTTTTAGAAGTGGGGTATCAGAGGTGCTAGGGGAAGGTTTCTAGGAGCAAGTAGTCAACAGAGTCAGGTGCTGTAGAGGTCAAGTGAGGAGGGGGTTAAAAAAAGACCTGGAATTTTGAAAATAGGAAATACAGCAGGTCCTTGAATAATGTTTCCTTCAATGTCATGAGATGCTGTAGGATCTTACTCTTGTTTTGTTATCAATTAGCCTATGGTAAAACTGGTTTCCTTATGTTGTTTCACTTAAGAGTTGCAGACCCTATTGGCAACAGTAAGTGAGGGCTTACTATGATTGGTAACATCTGAGAGAAATGTTTTGGGTCAGGAGTCACAAAAAACAGAAAACAATCAGGTGAAGGAAAATGAGCATTAACATGAAGGAGTGTGTGCAGATTTGGTTTCTTGGACAATTTGGTGGTGAAGGGAGACAGTGTGGTGACTTGAGGGAAAAGCTGATTTGGGAAAGAGTTGCTTTTATTGTTTTTAGGTAAGATTTTAGATCAGACCCTGTTTATAGGATAAAAGAAGAGAGCAAGTAGAAGAGAAATTAAACATGGGGGAGAGAAGCCAGAGTCCTAGAGAGACAGGTCCAAGAGCACAGGTTAGCTTTGAGAAGGGAAGGGACACTTCTTACTCTGAGAAATGGCAGCTAATATGGGTGAATCTCTACAGATTTTCAAAAAGAAGAATTGGGGGTAGGTCAAAAGGAATTGAGGAAATTCAGGCCTGATACACTTAATTTTCTTTGAAGTAGTAAACTACGCCATCTACCCAAATCCAGTAATTTAACTGGAAGAGGGAGTTGAAAAATGTGAGATTTGGAAAGCTCATGAAATAAAATAGAGGGTTAAATAGGGACAAGAAAAAGGACTCCTAAGCAGAGTTCAACTCTTAGGAAAAAATGACTCTTAAATCTTTAAAAATGAAAAGCTTTTAAAATGTTTCTCCCCATGAGCCCTTCAAATTTATGATCCAAAGTTGACTAGCATATGGAGATAGGCGGTTGAAGACAGAAAGATGTTGCCATTTCTACCATGAAATGGATAATCATGCCCTCCTACCAAATTTGGGGGCGAAATGTCATGAATTTGACATACAGTAGTAGAGCAGGTGAAAAGCCAGAATTTTGGCAGCATTTCCTCTGCAAATCTTTGTATGTTCTGTTCTAAACTAACAGTTGCAGTAGCCTTTTACTTGAAGCACTAAAACAAGATTTTTGGGAACAGTATGACTCAGATCACATTTATTTTTAGAGCTGGAATTTAGAAAATAATAATGATGATAACAATACAGTCAGGTGGAGTAGCAGAGGGGGAAATCTGTGAAGTGGATTGGTGGAGGACATTGAACTCCACGACTGGAAGTTTTAAAGCTAATTGTTGAAAGCTAATTAAAAGGCATTAGGGTACAGAAGTGAGATGGTTCTGGCTACTATGTGAAAAAGATAGTTTCTTACCTAATAGATAAACTAATGCAGGCAAACATATTCAGTATTGGTTGTTCAGGGTATCCCTTGCCAACTGCTGGATAGGGCATGCGGCCCATTTGGTGCTAGCAGAGTTCTCCATAGGGTTCCTATTCAGCTATCTGGGCCTACTTGAGGATTAAAAAGGGATGTGAAATGTTGGGGAGAACCTTACTTAGGTAGGAGAGCCTGTAACAGATACCAGAAACAGTGAAAATATAGGCAGATCACTTAAGTATATATATCTTCTCCTAGTCAAAGAGTTCAGTTTTAGTGCAATGCAAAGAATAGTAATTGATGAGGGTTTTTAACAAGTGCTAGATTTAGACCCAGGCAGTGACTCCAGTGCCAGCGTCCTTAACCCACTAAGCTATGCCTGGCACTACTTTACAAATGATAAAAAGCAGTCTGTAAATTTTTTAAAACTATTGTTTACCGATGAATTATGATACCCTAATCTAGGACTTACTGCTTAATACTCTGTGGTTTTGTCAAGAAATGCATATCCTTTGTCATAGTAATAAGCTGTTTGGTTACCCAATAGGCTAAGGACCCTTTTTGCTAGTCTCTCTCCAAATCCCTAAGGAAAACAATGAATGTAAACAATGAATGGATTTGGAAGTGCTCCGGATCTGGAAGTTCCCAACTGCACTGTAGATGATGGCTTGTCTTAGTAGTCTGATGATAGAAACCTAGTTCAGTGTAGGAACCAAGGGCTCCAGTCTGTCCCTACATTACTTACTCCCTAAAAGTTCCCTCTCTGCCTTTGCCATTCTGTTCCCTCAACCCAGGGCCCTTCTCTGCCTGGTGATAACTAACTTCTTCAAGGCTCAGCTCAAATGTCATACTGTAAGTGGATGAGCTGAGCAGATAGGGCTTTGGGGGTTCTCGCAGTTGTTCACAGGTGGAGAATGAACAGCAATAAGAACAGAATGGGGGAGAGGGGAAATGATGGGGAACATGAAGCAAGCAAGCATACGGTAGTCCCTGAAGATGAAAAAAATGATCAGACACATTCTGACTGTTCTCTAGAAGTAATAAGCAAAGCAGAATTTAAAAAGTGAAAGCAAATTGGACTGGGAACCGAGACTAACATCCTAGTTCCCTTGTCTGAGGCTTGAGATGACTTTTCCTGGCTTGTGGGAGTTGGGGACTTGATTTTTTAAAATCCCTTATAACTCAAGCCTTCCTTTTTGTTCCAGCATGAAACTTGATTTCTAAACAAGGATATAACAATAGTTAATGCTTAATGAAAAGTGATCAGAACTTTGGTTTGTTTTTCAATGAGGATTTGTTCTCAAATTTCAACTGAAACCTAGCCACCAGGAAAAGAAAAGATCTACTAAATTGACAAGGTTTTCCTACGTAGGACTGAAGTTTTCAGTACAGCAACAAATTTAGATTTCACATTTGTTGCCATGCTCAGCTAAGCCTAAGTCATAGCTAGGGCACAAGATTCAGAGTCTCAACTAGATAAGAAATTAAGCCCAATTAATGGAAATTATTTAACTGAGAGTGAGGAGTAAGCAGTATCTGATTAACAGAGAATTCAAGCATTTTATCTAGTTTATAAATTCTTTCCAGTAAATTCAGATCACAATGCAGCAGAACGTGGTCAGAGCCCTAACAACTGGCCATACACACTTACATGCAAGGTAACCCAAATCTGACCTACATTCTAATTCCCACAGGAGATGCTGAACATAAGCCATATATCTGTGGGGATGCAGATTCTGCCTCTACTGTGCTGGATGGAACGGAAGACTACCTCATTCTGGCCTGCGATGGTTTCTATGACACCGTGAACCCCGACGAGGCTGTGAAAGTCGTCTCCGACCACTTGAAGGAGAATAACGGGGACAGCAGCATGGTCGCCCACAAATTAGTAGCATCAGCTCGTGATGCTGGGTCGAGTGATAACATCACAGTTATTGTGGTTTTCCTGAGGGACATGAACAAAGCTGTAAATGTTAGTGAGGAATCAGACTGGACAGAGAACTCTTTCCAAGGAGGGCAAGAAGATGGTGGGGATGATAAGGAGAATCATGGAGAGTGCAAACGCCCGTGGCCTCAGCACCAGTGCTCAGCACCAGCCGATCTAGGCTATGATGGGCGTGTGGATTCATTCACTGATAGAACTAGCCTGAGCCCAGGGTCCCAAGTCAACGTGCTGGAAGACCCAGGCTACTTAGATCTCACACAAATAGAAGCAAGCAAACCTCACAGTGCTCAGTTTTTGCCAGCAGTTGAGATGTTTGGTCCTGGTGCACCAAAGAGAGCAAATCTTACTAATGAGCTAATAATGGAGAAAAAATCAGTTCAATCATCACTGTCAGAATGGAGTGGTCCTGGAGAGTTTCCCTCTTCCTTTAATTTGGGTTCAACAGGGCAGCAGATGTACAGAAGGGAGAGTATTTCTCCTGCCTGTTCTAGGTTGGGAAATGAACAGTTCGAATTCCTGGGAAAGACAGTTTCTAGATTCTCTCATCTACGCTATCACTACTCAAAGAGGCGGCATGGATTCAGGTTTAATCCAAAGTTTCATTCACTCCTCTCTGCTCATGAGCCTTGCCACAAAGTAGGCACGAGCCTGTCCTCACTTATTCCAAGTGGGAAAAGAAATAGGGTGTTAAGAAGTTCTCTGCCATGGAGGCAAAATAGTTGGAAAGGGTACAATGAAAACATGAGGAAGCTCAGAAAGAGTAATGATATCCCATATCCAGATCTCCCCTGGAGCTGTAAAATATAATACTTTCTCTTTAGAGTAGGCTAGCTAGCTCTCCCCCAGTAAAACCACCACTATCAGAGTAGAAACCAGGTAGACATTTCTGAAATATGTGTTGATTATGAAACCATGGATGGCTCAATTCTTAAATGTAAATAGATCCCTAGGAAACTCAAAATAGTGTTTTCAATCTAAGAAAAAAAGTATTGGCGGTTTCATTAGCAAAATTATACACTGATCCTTGTGATGTATCTCCACACCTACACACAACCCCACCCCACTGCCTCTTCACACCACTAGTGGAAGCTTGCGAGCTCCTATTTTTGTCAGGATATAGTGTTGAAATTTCAATGCAGTTGAAATCTGGTCTGATGTGCCCAATATATCTTTGGAAAACTTAATGCAGAATTAGATTTAGTTGAGGAATGTTCCTCAAAAGACTGGGGACTACGAGGGAAACCTCTCCCTCCCCACTTTTTTGGTAAGTAAAAGACTAAAAGCCATATGGGTTTTAACTGGTAACAATGGAAGTAGAAACCTAGTGTAAAAATGTCATATTCTAACTTGTGAGGCGGCATATAAAAAAAAGATTTACTGATTTCTTCCCCCCTGTAACATAAAGGACAAAGTTTTTTGAATAAGTATTTCATAGGGCTGTAGCTATTTGGGAGTTTCAATCTGTTATGGTGCTTTTGGCAGAATTTTTATTATTTGTCATTTTAGAAGACCGCTGTCAAATGGTTTCTACTTATGATGCTAACATGTTTTTCACTGTACCTTCATCTCAGGAATAACTGGTTTAATGGAGATGATACCAGGTACAAATATACTAGAATCAAGTTGCCATTTAAAAAGCATTTGTTTTTTCTGCCTTTTTTTTTTTTTAAAAAGATCATGGACAGCAAAGGCGTATACCACTGTAAAGGAAGTGGTTTTAGAGAATGAAAAATACTAGTTTTAACTTCTCTAAAACTGTTTCCTCCAAAGGAATGAAATGGTGTGAAAGTGGCTGAAAGTACTGCCTAAAGTGAGCCCAGAGGCCAAGTGCAAGGGAGACTACAGATTACTGAGACGGCGGTCTGCTTAGTTAGAAATGGAGAACACCCAAGAGTCCTGTTACATGCAACTTCATACTGCAGGCAGCACGTGTGTTTCTCATTTCAAAACTTATTTGTATTTGATATTTTAAATACAAATTTGTATCTGCTTTTTGCCATTTATGCAGTTTCAAGTCAGAAGCGTATCTTCAACTAAAGAGAGCAAATAGACTAATAATCAGATTCATTCAGTGAAGTAGCCTCTGATTCTGAGAATCATGAATGTCTCCACACAACATGTTACCCTCCAGTTAACCGTGGACCAGCCATGCCAATGGACAGGAGGTGCCTGTTCTAGTGCTCATCACTCATTATTAGGAGGTACTAGATGCTCTTGCTGAGACAAGTTTACTGCCTAATCATGTTTTTACGTAATAATGCAATTACTCTGTTTCCCAGATCCACAATGGACTAAAACCCCTGGATTTTAAAAACAGAGGACTGTAGCATACTTTGGGTAAAAACAGCTTCACTTTAGCAATGATCACATCGTTAATTTAGATTTTATTTAAAAAATTTGAATGTAATTAGAGATTTTCAGTATTTTTTCTCTCTTGGTGTTGAAGTCATTTTTTTCTCCAGGCTTGTGACACATGGCTGAAAAGGAGTAAACATGGCCCCAGCTATCGGACCAGAATCTTCTCACCAGCCTGATGCTTTACCCCCCACACGGACCTCACTCACATCTCTCATTTTCTGAGGCCTAGATCTTGTTAACCCATCAGGTAGAGTGTCAATTTCAAATCCAATTATCTAAGGAGACAAGAAAACATAGGCAGCAGAATATTGGTATGTTATAGTCCAAAGCATTTAGCTAAGTTAAACATTTTTTAAAAGATTTTCTATAGTTGTCTATAGCTAATGTTTTTGATCAGAATAAAGATGGTGAAAGGAAAGAAGGTACAAGTGCTAGGTTTTTTTCAGTGGGGAAAAATGGTTGGATGAAACTGGGATGAACACAGACCACATATTCAAGGGTCTGGATCTTGTAGGTTTGACTACATAAGCAATGTTAACGCCATTCTCATACCAGTCACCCTCTAGAAAATAAAGCAAAGTAGTTCTAGTATGATCAAGTTATAAAACAGTATTGTAAAAAATAGCAAATTTTCATTTGTCCACAACATGCATATTTATAGTAGTTAGGTACCATTTGTAAGGGAAATCCTTTAAAATTCTGTAATACATATTAAAGTAGTGGTTATTGGTCTGATATATGCTGCTTTTGGTTCTATAAACCAGGTAAAAGCAGTGCTTTGTGAAGTGCAATGTTATATCTTAACGCCACTGGTGATAGAAAGTAGTTCCCTTCAGTTCAAATCCTGTGCCCTTATCTGCTGCTTGCTGATGTAAGCAATAAGTACCCTCTAACTAAAGGTTTCTACACATTTCTGTAACTTGTGCTTTATGATGGTGTATCTGGTGATTGTAAAAATATTAGATAGATATAAAAGTATCTATATAATATATATTAACTGTTAATGCTGAGGTATAGTCTGTGAACTATGTGTTCTGTACTTTACTCACTGTGTAATTTAGTGGTGGTGAAAGTTCTACACTCAGTCTTTAAGAGTGGCAGTATCCCTTTTTGAATTTAACATGATCTGCATCAATTTGTTTGCCTGCTAAAGTTTTGTTAGAATAGGAAATAGTAAAACAAATATAAACAAGAAAGTATAGGATTGGTTAGGGAAAAAGACTTCAAGGCACCAACTGAAGTAATTACAGACTCCTTGTACATTCACTGTGAGTTTCAAAGGGAATCCGCCCCTAATTTATTCACTTTCTGGATGTGTACTGTTAAAGGAGATCTCAGTTAAGCAGCACTATTGCACCAAACACTGGGGCTCTCAATGCCAGTTAGGTGTATACTAAAGAAGAGGGTGGAAACACACATGTATATACCTTTTCTTTACCTAAAAGTGCCATCCATTGTCCTTGAGGTAATAAAATGAAGGTTCCTGTTGCATTTAATTTAAGAGGATCCTTGAAAGTAACACCTTTTTCAAGGACAGTGTCAATAATGTAAATGTCAACACCGAGTCTGATTCTGACCACATTTATAGTGGTACAATGTCCACATGGTGGTAGATTGTCACGCTGCATCTCCCTGACAACCACACTCCATTGCTGGAACACTGTGCCAGTAAGAAGTGCAACATCCAATGGGCAGATGAAAATGATGCAGGAAGAAGTTCAATGTTTACAGATAAAACTGCTGTGGTTCAAGTACTTCCTTCCCCATCAAAGGTTGGCCAAGGCTTTGAAAGAAAGTGACCTAAATCATTATTCTGATGTTTAAACATAATTTGTTCACACAATGGTCATTCTCACCTAAGCAAGGCCATAAAGGGGGACAGACAGATACCCACTCTTCTGTTCTGACCAGTGAATAGCTTGGATGGTTTTTTCAAAACAAAATACCACCAGTATTATAACTATTTTCCAGACAAATGGTACTGTGTTGAAAAATAACTGTTACTTCCTCTAGCAGCATTTTATCTTCTATTTTGAAGATTATTTATTGTACTAATTAGAAAATATGAAGATAGGGAACTCCAGACTGACACAGCAGTTGTTCTGGAAAAGGAACTACTCTAATAAACTCTGATGTATTAGACAACCCACAGATGCATCATTGTTAACCTACTCTAGGTGCTCTTTGGTGAGAGAGAGGCTTTGTTCTCTTGTTCATGAGATTTCTCTGCAAATAATTCTCTACATAGTGAAGCGAATGAAGTAAATCACTTCTTACCAAGTAAATTTATCAATTTAAGAACCTGCTCTACTCTCATTTTTTAGTTCAGTTGTAATCATCAGTGATCCTTCATACTTTATTTATTAAAACTGTTCATTCAGGTGAGAAGTATGTTGAAATTTTGCCAATATCTTAATAAAACCCAGCAATTTAAAACCACTAGTCATTTGTCTTTTTATTCAAAGGAAAAGATATTTAGTGGTGAGATTTAGGTTGATTCCCTCAGAACTGAAAATAAAATCCTGAGGTGGTAGTTTTCTTAAACTTTAAAGTAAGAACGTTGTTTTAAAAAGTTGCTAAGTGCTGCTATAACTGTTATTTCCTCCCCAGAAAATACAGAAGAGATATATTTCATCTTCTACATGTTCTCCCTGTCAGTTTAAATGGGGGAGCGGGAGGTAGGTAGAGGGTTAGTATTCTCAAATAGATGAGGAACAGAACCTGCCAAAGGCTAAGTGTTGACTCCTCAAATCTCCCAACTACTTTAGTCTTAAACTGTGTCCAACCAAAGTTTTTTCCTTTCACTTCAGTCTTTCCCTTTTTAGCTTCAAACTGCAAAGAAAGGAAAATAATCAGGTGAATTGTGTTTGAAATTGTCTGGAGGTTTGCTGTTAAGAGTAACAGGAGATAGAAACAAAGAGGTTGAGGATGGAATTGAAGCTAATAAAAGCAAGACCCCTGCATCTAAGGAAATGGAATTAAACATGCAAAACAAGTAAAACTAGAAATACACTGCACTGCTACTCTCTGCTCCCCACCACTAAGTCCCGGAAAGTTCTTAACCCCGTAATTCCCTAAATTCATTCAGCACTCAGTATGACTTTATATGGAACTGAAAGAAAGCAAGAATTGAGAAGAAAAAGCAAAGGTCTGAAAGAATATTTGAAGAAGTTTGCTAACACAGGGAATAAAGGAAAGTAATATTGAGATATTCCTTTATTCAAGTATTTACACTCAAAAAGATCCCCTAATACACTATTACTTAGTTCAAAAGGAGTATCTCTTCTCGAAGGAAAAAACAAACCACAGACCCATAAAAGAACACATAAAAGCTGTGGGACAAGATCAGTTTAACATATGCATAATTAGGATCCTAGAAGAGAGAGATAATGGGGCAAAAGAAATAATGGCTGAGAATTTTCCAAAATTAATGATGGACACCAAATGATAAATCCAAGAAACCCAGAGAACACTAAGCAGGATAAATACCAAAAACACACTCCTAGGGAGAAAAACAACAAAAACACCTCCCAAATGGTTTCACTGGTAAATTCTACCAAACATTTAAAGAGTAACACCAATTCTATACATTCTCTTCCAGAAAAGAGAAGATTCATTTTATTAGGTCAGCATTACTCTGATACCAAAATAGATGAAAACAGAAAACTACAGGCCAATAATATCCCTTGTGATAATGCAGAAATCTTCATCAAAATATTAGCAAATGAGTATCACTACACACTTACTAGAATGACTAACATTAAAAATAATGACAGGACCAAATGTTTGTGGGATGCAACTGGTACCCTCATTATTTTGTTGGGCATGCAAAATGGCAGTGCTACTTTTGGAAAAGTTTGGCAGTTTCCTATAAAGTTAGTATATACCTATCACACATATCAGTGCAATGACTTCTGTTACCAACTACCTGGAGATAGGCCAAACTTCACAGGTTAAAGGCAAAGTCCTCCACAAGACTGCTCTCACTTCAGATGCCAGGTTTGGGAGTCCCCACCATCGGCCCTTAGGTTTTATAATTCGCTTGAGCAGCTCTCAGAACTCAGAAAAATACATTGCTTACAATTCCAGTTTTAAAAGGATACAAATCAGAACCAGGGAAAAGGACACACACAATAGGGTGAGGTGTAGGAGAGTCCCAATGTGAAGCTCTTGTGATCCGGGCATGTTATCCTCCTGAACCGTAAATGCATGACAATACAGAGTACCGCCACCAGGGAAGCACATCAGAGCTTCAGTGTGCAGAGTTCTTATTGGGGTTTCACTCCGTAGGCACGACTGATTCACTGGAAATAAGGCTGAAATATTCACGCTGATAACATGTAACTCTTAGCTCCAACCCTCTAATAACATGGTTAGTTTTTCTGGCATGGCCAGCCTATCCTGAGTCATCTCGTTAGCATAAGCTATCAGGAACAACCACAAATAACAGACACTCCTACCACTCAGGAAATTCTAAGCACTAAGAGACTATATCCCAAGAACCAAGGGCCAAACGCCAACCAAATTTTCTACTACACACCCAGCAATCCCACTCCAAGGCATATACTACCTTTGAGAATGAAAACTAATATTCACACAAAAATCTATACAAAATGTTTATAAAGTTCATAATCACCCCAGACTGGAAATAACCCAAATGTCCTCAATGTGTTAAACTGTGGTATATTCATATAGTGAAACACTACTTGGCAATAAAAAGGAATGAAGTACTGATCCACACAGGATGGATGAGACTTAACTGCATTTTGCTAAGTAAAAGGCTACATACTGTGTAATTCTATCTGACTCTGGAAAAGGGAAAACTAAAAGGACAGAGAACTGCCAGGAGCTGGGTGTTGGCAGATTTACCTATAAGGGGCCAACACAAGGGAACTTGGGGGTACTGAGCTATTCTGTATGGCAGCAGATACACAACTGTGTATTTGTCAAAACCTACGAACTGTATAGAACACAAAGGCATTTAAATACATGTAAATTTAAAAACCAACCAGGGTGTGTGGGGGAGCACAGAAAGCAGACTAACAGATGAATCTAACTCTATTACAAAAGAGCCACATAATCACACTAGAGAGACTAGGGAAGAAAGGAACTAGTGTAACTCTGGATCTTAATACCTAAATAACTTAAGAAAAGTGTTTTGACATTATACTCAAAGGATAAAAACTGTACACAAACACTGTACTGCAGTTGGTAAATACGTTTTTCATAAGGATAAAGTCAACAAATCTTTGTCTCTAAATACCACTGTCCCAAAAAGGGGGGCAGGGAAAATACAAGATGAGCCTGGAGCATCCTGGAGGACAGGGAAGGAAAGGCAGGCAGGAGAGGGAGGACAGGGAGAGAGGGAAGGAAGGAGGAGCAGGGAACACATCAAAAGGATACAGGAGCCAACCTGAAAGAGCTTCACACAGCCAAAACTGGAACCAACTGAAGTGCAAAATGATGACAGTAATGGATCCGAGTCCAAACTCATATAAATAAGTATGTGGGGGGAAAAAACAACAAATGAGAAAGAAAAGACTTTTCCTTACAGAATTCTAATAATAAATATGGAAGAAATTAGGGAAATAGCAAACCACCATTAGAACACTGCAGTAATAACTGCCGTAAGCAAGATCTACTCCTGGGTGCTAAAATTAGTTAAGAGCAGAAACAGGGTATTTGCAGTCTCAAAGTATTTCCCCCAAATATTTAGTAGTTACAAAGGGAAAAACAGTAAATAGGGGGAATTGTGGCAGATACCACCTTAACCAATCAAGATCACTACCAATAATAAACATCTGCACCATATGCGCTGCACTTGGAAGGACATATCATCTCTGTGGTAGCCTTCCCAATTATACATAATCTCAACTGAATATGAGAAAATATCAGACAAACCCTAATAGAGGGACATTCTATAAAATAGTTGACCCTTGAATAGGACGGTAGTTAAGGGCACTGACCTCCCATACAGGCAAAACTTCTGACTCCCCCAAATCTTTAGTCATCCCTTGGTATCTGCAGGGGATTGGTTCCAGGACCTCCTGCAGTCACCAAAATCCATGGATGCTCAAGTCCCTTATAGTACTTATTGAAAAAAACTGCACATAAGTGGATAAAACAACACAATTAAAAAAATGAGTAGAGGACCTGAATAGACACTTCTCCAAAGAGGACATACAAATGGCCAAGAGACATATGAAAAAATGCTTAATGTCACTAATTATCAGAGATGCAAATTAAAATGACAATGAGGTACCACCTCACACCTGCCAGAATGGCTATTATCAAATCAACAAACAAAGGCTGGCAAGGAGGCGGAGAAAAGGGAACCATAGTACACTGCTGGTGGGAATTCAGACTGGTTAAAACAACTGTGGAAAACAGTGTGGTTTCCTCAAAAAAATTAGAAATGGAACTGCCATTTGACTCAGTAATCATCCCACTTCTAGGAATATATCCTAAGAAGCCTGAAACACCAATCCGAAAGAATATATGCACCTCTATGTTCACAGCAGTTATTTACAATAGCCAAGATCTGGAAATGGCCCAAAGTGCCTACCAGATGAATGGGTTAAAAAACGGTGTTACATTTATACAATGGAATGCTATGAAGCTGTAAAAAAGAAGGATCTCTTACCCTTTTGAGACAGCATGGAGGGACCTAAAGAGTATTATGTTAAGCGAAATAAGTCAGTCAAGAGAAAGACAAGTGATCTCATTTATATGTGGAATCTAATGAACAAAATAGATCCAGAGACACTGAAGCATGGAACAGGCTGACGTATTTCAGAGAGGGGCATTGGGGGGGGGGAGGGGGGAGAGATTAACAAAAGAATTTATATGCATATATGCATAGCCCATGGACAGACAATAGTTTGGGGAGGGGGCGGGAGTGGAGTGGAGGGGATCAATGGGGGAAAAAGGGACATCAGTAATACTTTCATCAATAAAGATAAACTTTAAAAAATCTGTATATAAGTGGACCTGCAAAGTTCAAACCCATGTTTTTCAAGGGTCAACTATAATTGGTTGTCTTCAAAAATGTCAAGGTCATGAAAAACAAGGAGAGACTGAGGAACTGTCACAGAGTGAAGGAGACGAAGGAAACATGACAACTAATTGCAGTGTGGCATCCCGGTCTGGATCCTGGAACAAAAGAAGGGCATCAGTGAGTGAAATAACCAGTGAAATCTGAACAAATCCTGTAGTCTAGTTAACAGTATTAAAAACAAGATTAACTTCCTCGCTTTGTTCACTATTCTATGGTTACCCAAGATGTTAAAAGGAGAAGCTGGGTAATAGGTATACAGGAACTCTTCTGTAAATCTAAAATTATCTTTAAAAGTTTTAAAAAGGGATAATCTTTAGGTCTTTAAACATGAGGTTTTAAAAGGACAGGTTTGGTTCAAGTGTGGTAAACTGGAGAAAGTATAAGACAGCAATTCAATCCATCCTTGCCAGTAGTATTGAACTTGGAGAGAACCACACAACCTTCCTGAACCTATTTCTGTGCCAAAAGGGTCTGACGCACAACTTATCTACCTCAGGGTTACTTCAGGATTTAACAGCACAGTTGGTTAAAGCTGTCCAGAAATGGTATGCCTATGCACAATGCAAGCATTACCACTGTATCTTTAGGTCTAAGAGTATTAAGAAGACATTTTCCAGGAATGGAAAGATAAAAATACTAAGTACTGAGCAAGGTAATGGTGGAAGGAAAGATTAAGACAAACTATGTTCTTCAGCAAAAGAGGGAACACTATATATTTTTTAAAGGTGGGGACTCCTATGGTACAGAATGGAGCAATGGATTAGAAATTGGGTCCTTATACAGACTGTGAGTGATGATTGCTATAGCTGGGAGAATGGGAGAGATCTCATTTGTACCAGATCTTTTGCAGACCACAAGGACAACCAGTGGGGAGAGGGGAAAGGAACTGATATCTTCCCTCACTGCTACCTAAAGTCTAGCATAGCCAAAGCAGGCATACCACATCAAGGAACAGCGAAAACATGAGGGTGCCTGGCACCACTGGGGAATTGGATGCAGATTTAGTATGCAACACAGCTAGAAACAAGGGAAGGAATCACATTTTCCAAAGATCCTACTATTAAAAGCTAATAGATCCTTCATCTTTGAAGAAATGTTTTGGTCTGTAGGCTTATGATGATTCTAGAATGACTGGGAAAGCAGCTGCCCATCAATCACCCTTATCCACAAAAACCAAGCACAAAACAACTAATCAAATGTTCAATCTTTTTTACTTAAAAATCATGCTTTCTCAAACCTAAGCTTTCTATATTGGGGGAAAAAAGTGACATTCCCATTAATATCAATGACAGAGCAGAAGTCCGTAAACTATCTGTAAAGAGTGTGAAAGTAAATATTTTAGGCTCCGGGAATCATTTCATTAGCAGCTACTTCAACTCTGCCTTTGTAGGGAAAAGCAGCTATTGGCAATCTTAAACTTTATTTACAAAAATAGACAATGGCAGGGAATTGGCCCAAGGAGGGTAGTTTGTTTCCCCCTTGAGAGAATGTCAGATAGAAACTTGCTAATTGAATTCCAGATAGTTTCCTCAATGAACTGTGTGAATGTGTATATATATGCTGCATATTTCTTGCTATTTCACAATTCACAAACATTAGTTGAGGTGAGCTGGAACCCAACAAAACAAGGCATGATTTTCATCATCATAGAACTGCTTTTGAGTAGAGTAAGTTCTCATTTAATATCATCAGTAGGTTCTGCAACTTTAAGCAAAACGACGTAAAACAAAACCAATTTTACCACAGGCTAATCGATATACACAAGAATTAAGTTCCTACGTTAGAACAAAATGATGTTTTTCGAGGCCCTGCTGTATTCAGTTCATCCTTTAGCTACTTATAAGTTTGTTTTTCTTTTTTGGTGAAACCCAATGTCAACTTTAATTACAAAAATGGAGAATATTATACCAGAAGGGCAGTTAACAATATCATTTTTTTAGAAGCTTAAATTTTTTTTTCAAGAGATAGATTTTATTCTTAAACATGGAGTTCAGAATACAAATGGATGGGTTACTCGAACACAGAAGATAATATACCAATTAAGTTCAAATAATTTCCCCTACAAATTTTTGTGCAAGCATAAAGAAGTAAATACCTTCAAATTTTCCTACAACCGTAATAACCAAAAATAGTCTCGCTGACATAATGAACTCAAACTCCACCAATTAAAAAGAGTCTCAACCAATTCTCCACTCATCTAAACAAGGGCAGCACTCCTGTTTTTTTTGATCCTCACCCGAGGATATTTTTTCCACTGCTTTTCAGAGATAGTGGAAGAGAGAGAGGTGGAAGGGGGGGGAGAGAAATATCGATGTGAGAGATATATCGATATATCCCACACATGCCCCAACCAGGGCCGGGGATCGAGCCTGCAACCGAGGCATGTGCCCTTGGCTGGAATCAAACCGGGGACCCTCCAGTCCATAGGCTGACACTCTAACCACTGAGCCAAACCAGCCAGGGCACTCCTGACTGTTTTTATACATAACCTGAGAGCAGAAGAAAAGCCATAAAAATACCTGAGAGTCAAGTGTACGGTGATCCAAATATCACTATGACATTTTGGGAATTCAATGACTACAAAAACCTCAAGGTCATGAAAAATAAGAGCAAAACTTAAGAACACTTCTGATTATAAACTACGTTCCTAGATGTACATACCTATGCTAAAGTTTCATTTATAAATTAGGCAGTGTAAGAGATTAACAACAATAAAAAAATAGAAAAATTATAGCAACATTCTCCACTAATTCTTATATTTTTCAGTCCAAACCTACTAGTGAATCTGTGTAACCATTCCTTACTTGATGTCATTCATTCCAGGGGATCCCTTGCTGAAGTCTTCGTATGAGCTCAATTCTTTCTGATGCAACACTGAGCAGGATGGGACGAGATTTTATTATGCTATAGAACAGTGCACAATTTAAAATACATGAATTTTTCAAATATGGAATTTTCCAGTTGATATTTCTGGACCACAGGTAACTGAAACCTTGGAAAACAAAACTGTGGATAAGGGGGGACTACTGTATACAGATTATAGTGATCCAAGAGAATCCCATGGCTAAATCACTCATGCTAAGAAGCTCTTACAAGTAAATTTCCCCAAGTGAAGAGTCTACTCTCAGGTTTCTCTTAGTTCTTAACCACATGCAGTTTTCCATATTTTGAAAATAAAAAGAATTATAAAGGCACATGGAAAAGCACTCAGTTCTATATCAAATATGTACAGGTGAAGAAATGGCTAGGCAACAGTGAGAAATTCAAAAGTGTCAACCACGCTTGTGTTTATGGATTTATTTTTTTTTAAATTCATCAATTTTTACAATGGTTTGCTCTCAACACTAAAGGTGCAAAATTCTTACATTATATTTTCACCCATTACAATGTAGTGTAGAGATAAGAGAAAGCTGGATTAAAAATTTGATCTCATCAAAATGTAATGAACATGAGTGCCTTTCCATCTAATAGAAAATGTTAGATCACTGCATGATAAACTATGTAATAACTATACAACAGCATGCCAATTAACATGTTAGTAAACAAAATACTACATTTTTACTTTTCCTCAAATTATAGTACTTAAATATTTCCAATTAACTTTTAAAGAGATTATAAATAAGTCTCCTAACTTTCCCATGCATTTACTAACAGTCTGCAGAGCTCAATAGCCTTTGTAAGAAACAGGCAATAACAAATAAATAGAAAAACAGAAAGGGAGCTTCCTGACCCACTTCTAATAAATTGCAGAGGCACAGTATTTTCTCAAGTTCATTTTATTAACAAAAAGCGCAAACTGTTTTGAACAAAAGCAAACCATGAATCACGGCAACCAGCAAGACATCAAACATGGAAAAGTGAACAATATTAATTAAGTAAAATATAAGCAGATGAGATACCTCTCACATGTATATGTATATTCATGCTTTTTCAATAGTCTCTTAGTCAACTTTCAGTGTAATTTTCACCAGCAGTCTAGCAGCTCAAACACAAATGCAGGAGCACAAAGGCAAAGTTTGGCAACTACTTTGGGCTCAATGCGAGCATGAAAGTAACCCTTATACCACAGTTTCATGTAAACCACTGCAATATGCATAAGTCTTTAAACGTATTGACGCTGAAATCAATGTCCAACTAAAGAAAATAAAGGAGGAGAAAAGAGGACTTTTAAATACTTGTACGTTAAAGGCAGAAAAATGAAATAATTTTAAATGATCTTACACGCGTTTATATAACCAGGAAAATAACCAATCTGCATTAACTTAACCCATTTAAAATTACACTTGTAAAAGTCACACAACAGAAAGATTATGAGCCATTGATCAGTGTGCCTGCACTTGAAAAACAAGAAAAGATACATAAGTTAACTTTAGTCAGTCAACACGCTCCAACGAGGAGATTCAGTCTAGTGTTAATTCAGTTATTCACGTAAAGTATCTACGGGTCAGAATCTACATTAAGTAATTTTTCTGTTCATTAATCTACAGGCACTAAAGAAACTATATACTGTGATTAAAACCCAAAATATAAAGGCAATCACTTAAGCAAAACTGAGCATCTAGCCAAAACCAGGACAGCACCGGACCGAGCATCACCGAGCGCATGCAGGTCTCTCAGGACATTTTCTGGAAGTTACATGCCCTTCTGTTGTAACAGACAGACTGCTCTCCATGAGTATGCTACTTCACTAAGTTAATTAAAGACTACATGTTTACTCATTATATCACACAGAATTCTTCCTACACTTTTTTTCTGTGTACTCAAGTCTTATAAGAGAATTGTGCTACTTTCTAAACTTTCAGAATTACTATTTCAGGTAGATATGATGAAAAAATTAGACCAAATCTGATTATCTGACAGATGACAATTTGAGCACCAACTACAGCAAATATCAGGATCAAGACAGCTTGCAAGTCAGTTCTCTTGGTTTGAAAATTACCTTCCACTGTTGCCTTCAGTACAGAAGCTGAGATCTTCAAGGCTTATTTGTTCACCATCAGGAAGGCTGGCATGTGCATCTAAGATAAAGAATTAAAAACAGATTACATTTTCTAAAGACTAGTGAGGCTTTTTTCCCATGTCTTTAAATGATCTTACCAAGTGTGTTATTTAAGTGATAAAGATTGCTGGGCTGTGAACAAAGCTGTCTGTAGGGAATTTGTGATCTGAGCCAGGTGTAAGCAAACACAAGGGGAAAAGAAAGGAGAAAAGAAAGGTACAATAGATAGATATCTACAATTAGAAAACGAAAGGCACTGCCTCGCTCTGTCCTCCTGGGGAAACTGTGGGAGCAGCTGAAGGAAGAGGAAATGGTGATGTATACTCTACAGGCAGTGTAAACATAAAATGTATTTCAAAGCCAATTAAATTGCTCATGCAAATATCACGACAAACACCTATCAGCACTCAAAAAACTTGCCAAAATTTGGCTGCTGCTTTGGGAAGGAGAGAAAATTACTAAAAGTGTTTTAATACTTAATCATCAAATGTTTGGTTCAGCATTAAAAAAGACACTAGAACATGAGGGGTATGTATAAAATATAAAGCTGACAATTAGCATAAGCTTGACAATGCTGTCATTCCAGAAAAATTTTGTGGAGGAATACTCAGATTGATCATTAAAGTCTCTGGATATAATATTAACAATGGATGATAGATGTTAACTAAACTTACTGTGGTAATCATTCTGCAATATACACATACATAAAAAATTATATTGTACACCTAAAACAAAACAAAAAATATTAACAATGGGTTTCTCTTAGTTTTTCTTTCTAAGACATTTTTAGGAGGAAGAGGGAATAAAAACTGATGATTCCACTATCTGCATATATTTCTAAAAAAATCAGAAAAAGTTATCTTTAAAAAAGAAAAAAAGTCAAACATCTGAGGCCTCCCTAGGGGCTGGCAAACATTTTCTATAAAGGGGCAGAAAGTAAATACTTAGGAACCACAGGCCACAAATGGTCTGTTGAAAATTCTTCTGTTCGTCTATTTTACAACTCTTTACAACGCAAAAGCTTTTCTTAGAGGTCGCAGGCTGTACTGAAGCAGGTTGCCACCCCTGCTTCACCCAGTAAGTAGCACCCATTAGGTGTCTGACCAGCCAAATATTACCTACCAATTTTCTTCAGTACTCACCATTTAGTTTACCCCATATATATTGTCTCAAAAGTGACATTAATTAAAACAGGGGAAAAAAGCAGAAGCAGTAGAGCAGAAGCAGAAACAGAAGCAAATAAGCAGCAGCAGCAGAGATGGCTTTATTCATCTCTGGGAAATGACATCATGTGCTGCACCTTCATCTGGAGGCTGTGCCGTGAAAGAGTCATTGAACCCGCCCAGGCTGGTGTGCTCCTCCTGCTCCTCGTTCTCAGTGTCACATTCCACATCACTGTCGCTGCTCATTCCTGGCAGGAAAGACAGGAAGAACATGTCTGTGACAGGCAACCACTTCAAGTGAAAGGAAAAGGAAATCTCCTTACTACTAAACTGTGATTCCCACTGAATTTTATGTTGAATGCCAAGACAATGTAAGACACCACACAACAAAACGAGGAAAAACAAGCACACAGACCTCAGTTCTCTTTAGTTATTAGAGCAGGGGTCTTATTTTTGTCCTCAAAGATTAAAATTACCCTTTCCACAGTACCTGAAAGTTGTAATTTGAAAGTAGTATTAATTTCATTACACTGAGACTATTTTTTCCGAAGTACATTTTTTTCTAGGGCCATAAGAGATAACAGTAATTCTTAATCCTGACTGGATGTAGATATAATATTTTATAGCCTAAAACATATAAACATGTTACATAAACACAAATACATATTTATACACATCTGTATATGCACAGATAAAAAAAATTCCAGTAATTCTAGCAATACATCAGTTACTGTCTCATTTGGGCCTCCAATTTTGAATTTGTGTATTTTAGCTGATTTTTAAAAGAAAAAGTTTATAGAAAGTATTTCTGTTACAAGAAAATAGTGATCAAGAAAATCTGAAAGTATATCTGCTACACATCCTTATAAATGGCGGAAAAAAAAGTAAACTTAAAATATCATTTTAACACACAGCCACATTTAAAAGAAAAATGGAAGCCACAGCTGCAAAAACAAGCAGAAGGGAGAACAGGGGTCTAGTGCGGCAGTTGTCCAGAGGGCGTGACGTTAGGGTCTTTCACACTCCCTCGGGAATAGGGGGAAAAAAAAGTCTTTGGAAGCACCATAGAAAGGGAGTTGATACTGAGACTAAAGCTCCACTCCCTGTATAAAGCTAAAATTCGTATAGAAGGAATAAAAAAAGTCAGCCAACTGGCATTGGAGGACAGCAGAGAATTTTCTGTTTCTGCTGGGCTCAGCTCACCTCTGATTCAAACTAAAGCCTGTGTACTTAATTTAGGTTTGGGATTTAAAGTTAAGGTTCACTTCTCAGGAAATTAAAATAAAAATTGGCCAGGAGCTAGTGTTATTTGAACAAAACAAATGTAAAATCCTTTGGAGAGAAGGTTCTAGGTAAGTGGAGTAAGCACATTCCACCCAGTCCTTCCCACCGAATGGAGCTATAAATGTGGACAAAATGCATGAAGTCGCTATTTAAGGACTGAAAAGTAAACAGAAACAAGCATATTGGTGTAGACCAGAATTGGAAGTACCGCCAAATTCGCAGATTTAAACAGGACTCAGTCTCATAAAATCATATTTAAAATGTCCAGGATACAATCGAAAATTACCTTAGCATATGAAGAACCAGGAAAAGATAATCAACAAATATCAATGCTGAGATGACAGAGATGTTGGAATCATCTAACAAAGAACTTTAAAGTAGATCTAAAGATGCTCATGAACACACTTGAAACACGTTAAAAACCTCTCTGGAGGGAAGCTTCCACAATCCAGCTCACAGAATTATCACAGGGGGAAAAAAAAAAGAAAAAAAAAGAATTCTTGAAGGGTAGCGGGTGGGAGTCTCATAAAGGAGTGTTTCAATAAAATTTACCAAACAAACAAGGCCCACAGTCCACCTGAAGAGTCAAGCAGATACATAGAACAATACCATGAATCTTCCATATCACAAAATAACTTGTAAGACACTACACAATTCTGTTTAACGTGGAAAACAAAAGGAGATATATTTTTAAAATTACTAAGTACTTTATAGAAATGATAGTCATTTTAAAATTAAAATATTAATAGATGCATTTAGAGAAAGTTGAAAGAGGTTAGCAAACTTACAGATAGAACTCAGGAAATTAACCATAACACCAAAGAAAAGTGAGATGAAAATTATAAAACAGAGGTTAAGAAACAGGAGATAAAAGGGAATGTTTCAAATAGACTGCCACTGAGAAAGCAAAAGTAACAAAGGAGAGGGCCAATATACTAAGAGAAAATGGCTTTGAATTTTCCAGGATTAACAAAAAATATTCTGAATAGAAGGAAAATAAAAATACAACATGCCGGGGGATTCCAAGATGGTGGCAGATTGAGTAGCAAGCTACACTGACACTCCCAGGACCAAACTAGAATTACAACTAAAATATAGAAAAACCATCCTGAATAATCATCTGAAGACTAGCTGGAGAGCACCCTCATCACCAAGGAGGTAAGCAGAGACCTTGTTGAGACTGTTTCTACAGCCTGAGGCTCACTAAGAGACTGAATAACAATCAGCCTCTGGGTGCTTTAAGACTTGGCCTAATTTGCTTCTGGACTGAGGGCTCAGAAAAGCAGACCTTTGTGTCCATCTTGGTCCTTTCCAAGTGCCCCCAGCCCCAGCAGAGGGAACCACAAGCTGTGAAGTGAGGAAAACTTCAAACAGGGTACTGAAGGCCTGTTACAAACAGCATCTGACATTGGTCTGCACCAGAGACCATCCAAAAGTCTGGGAGTCCTAGCAGATCTACCTAATACATAGAAACAAATCCGAATAGGCTGCCAAAATGGGGTGACAAAAAAACAAGACCCAAGTGAAAGAACAAAAGAGCTAAATGAAATGGAGATAAGCAATCTATCAGATATAGAGTTCAGAACACTGATCATAAGGATGCTCCACAGCAGCAGAAAAGATATGGAAACTATGAAGGAAATTAAGAATGACATAGCAGAAATAAAATTAAAAAAATTGGAAGGAATAAACATTAGGGGAAGCTGAGGATCAGATCAGCAAATTAGAAGACGGAAGAAAAAAAATCAATCAGAGAACCAAAAGAAAAAGCAATTAAAAAACAGAACAGTTTAAGGGAGCTGTGGGACAACATGAAACATAACATTCGCATCATAGGAGTGCCAGAGATATAGACAATAAGCAAAAGTTAGAGAACCTATTTGAAGAAATAATGGCAGAAAACTTCCCTAACCTGGTCAAAGAATAAGTCACACAAGTTCAGGAGGCACAGAGAGTCCCAAGCAAGAAGAATCCAAAGAGGCCCACGCCCAGACACATCATAATTAAAATGCCAAAAATTCAAAGCAAAGAGAGAATCTTGAAGGCAGCAAGAGAAAAGCAATCTGTTCTCTACAAAGGAGCTCCCACATAAGGCTGTCAGCTGATTTCTCATCAGAAACTCTATAGGCCAAAAGAGAATGGCACAAAGTATTCAAGGTAATGCAAAACAAGGATATGAAATCAAGACTACTCTATCCAGCAAGGCCATCATTCAAAATAGATAGTGAGATAAAGAGTTTCCCAGACAAAAAAAAAAAGGCTAAAGGAGTTTATCACCACCAAACCAACACTGCATAGAAATGTTAAAGGGACTACTATAATAAGAAATTTAAATAGAGAGAACGAGAAACATAGGCATAAAGAACTAAAATGGCAATAGATAAGTACCTATCAATAATAACCTTAAATATAAATGGGTTAAATGCTTCAATCAAAACATGGGGTAGCTGCATAGATAAGAAAATATGACCCAAATATATACTGTCAACAAGAGTCCCACCTCAGAACAAAAGACTCACACAGGCCGAAACAAACAAGCAAGCAAGCAAGCAAACAAACAAAAACTTCTGGAGGACTTTAAAGGAGAGATCCACAGCAATACAGTCATAGTAGGGGACTTTAACACCCCACTGACTTTACTGGAAAGCTCTTCCAAACAAAAAAATCAACAAGGAAACAGCAACTCTGACACACTAAATCAGATGGATTCAATCGACATTTACAGAATATTTCACCCCAAAGCTGCAGAATATAGATTCTCCTCAAGTGCACATGGAACATTCTCAAAGACAGACCACATGTTAGGACACAAAACAAGTCTCTACAAGTTCAAGAAGACTGAAATCATATCAAGCATCTTCTCAGACATTTACACCATGGAATACTATGCAGCTGTAAAAAAAATAAAAATAAAGGATCCCTTATCCTTTGAGACAGCATGGTGGGACCTGGAGAGTATTATGCTAAGTGAAATAAGTAAGTCAGAGGAAAGACAAGTATCACATGATCTTACTCATATATGGAATCCGATGAATAAAACAGATCCAGAGACATAGAAGCATGGAACAGACTGATGAATCTCAGAGGGAAAGCAGGGATGGGGTACGAGAATAATCTAAGAACTTGTATGCACATAAGCATAACCCATGGACACAGACAATAGTGTGATGAAGGTGGGGGGGAAATCAATGGGAGGTGAAAGGGGACATATGTAATACTTTCAACAATAAAGATAAATTAAGATGCAAAAAAAATAAAATAAAAATTGCATTGTGAAAAAAAACAACATACCAATAGTTCTGGGATGTGGCTATACCAGTGTTTAAAGGGAAAGTTATAGCATTAAGTGCTTTTATTAGAAAAGAGAAAAAGGTTTCAAATTCATGATCAAGGTATCTACTTTAAGAAACTAGGAAAAGGAGCAAATAAGCCCAAAGCATGTAAAAGGAAGAAAAATAAAGAACAGAAATAAAATCAGCAGAAAAGTGTTCTAAACATTCTAAAAAGAGCAAATAAAATCACCAGTATCATGAATATAAAAGGGGACATCACTATAGTTCCTACAGACATTAAAAGGACAATAAGGGAATAGTAGAAACAACTTAATGCTCATGAAATCAAGAACATGGATGAAAAAGACAAATTCTTTGATTCAGACACACACTACCAAAGCTCATTAAGATAAAAATAACTTAAATGGGTATTTTAACTACTAAAGAAATAGAATTTATAATAATAAAATAAAATAAAAACACCAAAAAAAACTTCCAACAAAGAAAACTGTAGCTGCAGATGGCTTCACTGAACCCTTCCCTTTCTGTTTTCAAGAAGAGTTTGTGTAGTATTATTTCTCCCTTAACTATTTAGAAGACATAGACAATTTATAGACATTTCTGAAATCTCTTTCTTTAGCAAAGAAAAGGAGAGAAAAAATTACTTTCCTGCTCTACAAAGTGACACTACTTAGAGACCAAACCAAGCACTTCCATGAAGCACCACCACCACCTCGTGGCCTTTCATGGAACTGTTCTGAAAACAAAACCCACTTGAGTTCCTGAAATTCTAGGCACAAATTTTAACTCTTGGTACTAGTGTTTCTAAATTTCCTTACAAATACTAACCTTCAGGATTCACAAACAAGGAACTGAAATTCTCTGGATTTCCCAAAATCTTAGCTTACTTTAAAAATACTTAACGTTACATTTTTCAAATTCTTCATTCATTATATACCTTTTTAGAAAACTGTTAAATTCGTAGTATTTCTAAGAACTGTACTACAGTGACTATTCAAATACTGGAAAATGCTGTGAAAAGTACTGGATAGTATTTAAATAATGTAACATTTAGAACTTTTAGCAAGGTTTATAGTACTGCATATAGAATCATAGGTCAAAAATGCCAATTTAAGGAATTATTTTGCTTCCCAAACTCCTACTTCTTATAACACCACTCATAGGATTCATATAAAGTATAGTATAAACCCATTAACATTTACATAGCAGCAGGCGGCCATGCACAATTATAAAATGAAAACAGCTATAACCAGGACTGATTTGGCTGTGATCGCTTCTTTCCAAGGCACTCCTGTTGATCTTAACCTCCAGGTATCATTATTTCCAGTTTCTACTTTCAACTTGCCATAAGTGGATTCCTTCAAATCAGTAATGTTTGTGTGTTGATTGTTAAGATTAACTCTAACAGAATTAGAATAACTTTTCCATTTTTTTATTTGACTCATTTTTCTCAGGATTCAGGAAAACATACATTTCCCAAGAAATGCTGCATGAAAACACTATTGGTCTTGTACCAAGTCCTAACATGTGGAAAAGCCCTAGCTTTGTGAATGTAACGAGAAAGACAAATTAGTCTCTTGACCTCTAGTGTAACAGCTGGACTACTAGGTCAACAGGTCCTGTACAACCCACTGCCATCAGTAACTGAGAGGGAGCAAACACAACAACAGTTCAAACACTTTCGTTTTTCTGAAATGAGACTAGCTGCTCAAGCAAGAGGCCTCAAGCTATTGGCTATGCCTTGCCCCATATACTGCAATGTCTACCACTGTATTAAATAGTAAATGATTAAAGCAAACTAGTGATATTTCACCTGCTCTAAGAAATTTGGATACTGGACCTTCCTTGATTTCACCAGGTGTCAACAGGTTTTCACACAACTGTCTGTCATTGATAGTAATTATAAGGTACCATTAAACTTAAGATGCTTAATGTGGAAAAAAAATTACATCAAGTAAAATTTGAAATAGGTCATTTCTGTATCAATCACCTACCACTTTTTGAGCACCCTTATGCTCAGTACTGTCCAAACTTTTGAGTTATAACTCCCTTATTCAAGGGTGTTCAAATTCCTGATGCTTGGAAAATCCATTTATCACTTGGTACACCAAAAACTAATGCTTCCCCTGCCGTCCTCCTTTCTAACAGAACCTCAATGTTGTTTCACAGTACCATGTAAAGTGGGCCACGGAGGGAGACCAAATGTTTAAACTTTGCCAAGTTTCCTTTTCTTGCCAGTGATTGAAATATAAGGTGAAATAAGGAAGTTGTTGAGGTTCTCTGAGAAAGGTTTTCCTTGTTGATAAATAGAGACACAGAAATAATCCTTCCTTACTCCTAGAATGTGTTCTGACTCCATATAAAGTTTGGAACTGCAGCAACCATCTTGCCATCCTGAGGGGAGCTGAGCCAACTCACTGAGTGGCAGAATAAAAGATGGGGAAAATAACAAGCTTTTGATGACAGTGAGTGGCTAAATCTTCCAACCCTTTAACTGTCCTACCAGAGTTTAGGTAAGGCTTCTTGCTAGTATGAGAGTAAATATTTCATATCGCTTAAGTCAGCTGGTTTGAGTTTTTGTAACATGTTAAAAGCTCTTCATCAATATTCCAAAATGAATCAGCAATGCTGGAGCACTACTTCGTATTCCCCTTAGATTGGCTGCCGGTACAGTCTGTACCAGGTGTGCCACAGCTCTTCTCTGGGATGGGTGTTTTGATACCCATCTTAATTGAAAGGGATCTGTGCTTCTTCAGTAGGAACTCAATCAGAGCACAGTCTCCAGTTTTAAACAGACCACAGAGCAAGAAAGAAACTGGTCTACCTACAGGCATCCTGCAGGCTATCAATTGGAGGGGCAGGGGAGAGAGTCAAGCTTTTCAGCATCAGGCCATTAAACAGAAGATTAATACAAGCTTGTCCTATATGGTCCCAGGTAGAAAGGAAAGGCTGGTTGATGCCTGTCATGTCTAAGAAAAGTCACATTTTATTGACACTCAAGAACTTTAAGAGACTACTTCAGTAGTCCCAAATTCCCACCTAGTAATATAACAATGCCTTATTTTAAAGCTTCTTCAGACAGCTTGAGAAGGGGGGAAAATAGAAGGGGGGAAGAAAAAGGGGTAGTGGAGGAAGAGAAGAGAGATGTCAACCCACAGTGGTATGACACAGAACATTTTCTTAGGTATTCCCCTCAAAAAGAGCCTTGTTGTTCCTAAGCATGGATACAAGAGAAACCCACTCAACTTTCTATGACAGAATGAATACCCACAGGAGTGAGTGTGGGCCCCTTCTCCTCTCACAAACAAAGCAGATTCCAAAAGGCACAAGAGCTCCTTTTGTCCACTGTGTTCCCTTCTTCCAGCCTCATCACTTAGTCTCCTCCTCACTGCCTACCCCAAGACTCCTCCTACTGCAATTTGTTGTGGTAAACCAACAAATTACAAGGTGTACTTCTTTGGCACTGTTGATCTGCATGTTTACAACTTTTCTTACCGAGTTTTAGGTGCTTTATATCACAACATTCCTTACATAAGAGAAAATGTGTTACTGAGTAACACGGACCACTTGCTAAATATTGCCAATTATTTTTATTATTACATATTTGTTCTTTGAGCTCCCTATATACCTAATCACAGCACTCATCATTCTATATTACAATTGGCTATTAATCGATCTCTCTGAAAACTGACCTGTGGTTTCAATTGCTCTCCTTGTCCCCCCCCCCAACACATATAGGGGTGGGCAAAAGTAGATTTACAGTTGTAAGTACACGAAAAACAGAATTTTCTTGTATTATTTATTTTTCCATTATGAACGTTTAAACCTACTTTTGCCCACCCCTGTATAACCAATATACCTGAGAGCTAGAACTTGCTCCGATTCACAACGGTGACCCACTCTGGCAAGTAATTCTTAAGGAGTGGTCACCCCTGGTTGAGAGTCATTCTACTGAACCAGTGGCTCTCAACTGGAGATTATTGTCTCCATGGAGACATGTGACAATGTCTGAACATTTTTGGTTATTATAAGTTAGAGGAGGCAGTACTGAAACTTAGTGGTTAAAAGCCAAGGATGCCGCTACACATCCTACAATGCACAGGGCAGCCTCCTACAACAATCAGCTGGCCCAAAATGTCAATAGTGCCACGGTAGAGAAACCCTGAACTAAATAGTAGGTTCAGAAATTACTTTAGCACCAGCATCATATGAAATGCCAGCCAAATTAGAAGCATTTTTAATAAATGTTGCATGAATAAAAGGAGCCTGTAATTCCAACACATGCTGTAAGAATTTAAGACACTATAGTTAATGATCATATATATAAATGCATGGAAACAAATCACCACAGGTCCTCTCTATAAAGAACCATCATAATATTTCTTTCTTAATGTTTTAACAATCAACACTTCACTTTTAAAATCCTTTCCATTTAATCTCTTCTACTGGAATAATGCTGCCCACCACAGGAACACTAAGAGGGAAGACCAAAACGTTTAAAGTTCTTTCACTAAAAAACCTGAAAATGCCACCACCCACATGTGCTCTCACAGGGTAGCCAGTGTGCTTGCAACAGTATGTAAGCTTTGACCTACAATTCATCAATCACTGGAATTCAAATAAGTGCAGGGGTGGAAGGTGGTAGTTCCACTGAGAAAAAAAAAATTCAATGTCAAATATCACTAATAAAGTTGATGTGCTATTCTGCTAACATAAAGAGGACACAGCAAGGGCAATACACATAAGCCCTGTTTCAAATACCTTCCAAATAACAAAATGTTTTCTATGCTTTTAGATAAAGAATGAGGAATCGGAAAGAACAAGTAGAATACTAGAAATATAATTGAAAATGAACTTGTAGGGTTTTTAAATGTGACAGTCAACACTTTAATCTATCGATGGTTAAAGTATGGAAATACTTCTACAAGAGCGAAGCAGTCTACAAACATTAATCAAAACTGACTTTAAAAGATGGATTAACACTTAATATTCTAATTATTGTTCTGGGGCATGTCTCCTCCATAAGACTGAATATACCTAATTTCATCTTTGCATATCTAGCAAAAATTCAATGACTGTCATGTAGGTGGCTTAATATATTTATTGAATGAGCAGATAAACTATCTGCAGATTTTCCCCCTCCTGTAAACGTCCCTTCTAGTAAGACATGTCCTTTTATGGAATCAAGTATCCATTTTGCCTTTCTCTGTGCTTAATGGCCTAGTAAATAAAATTCAGTGGCACAATGAATGTTATGTTCAGATGAAGGACATCAGACAGTGTCTCAATAACTTTTTTATTAAACCAACAAATCCCTACCACCACCACCACCAAAAAAAAGGTCATTATTCCCACCTAATTATGACTTATCGTTCTTTACCTTCCTCAGGGGCAGCTGAAGCTCCATCAGGCAGTATAGGCTGTAATTCCCCAGTTTCAGAATTATTTTCCAAGTCAGTCATTTGCATTCCTTCCAGACGACTTCCTTTAACATTACCCCTTAAAGAAGAAAACAACTTGATATTTTTGCATAAGTACTCACTGATAATTGTATCTATATTTTCTTCTCCTGAAACTGAGCATCAACTAAGTAGGGTATTATGGCACTGATGTCTAATACTAACTTTCAAGTTTCTTTTTAAAAAATTCATTAGAGGACTCACAACGAAGTTTATAAAATGTCGTCAATGCCAACATCCCAGTTGTGATATTGTATTAGTTTTGCAAAATGTTATCGTTAGCAGAAACTGGTTAAGGAACACAGGGTCTCTATGCATTATTTCTTCTAATTGCATGTGAATTTACAACAAAAATTCCAATTAAAAAACAGAAGTCTTAAATAGTATGTTCTCACCAATATGGAAAGACTTTTCAGATATACTATTGAGTAAGAAAACAAGTGCATCTTTTGTATTTAAAAAGCTATATGCTCACAGTTGCTTAAATATGCATAAAAACTGAGAAGACACATCATCTATGAAAAATTAAGAACAGCAGGAATGTGTGTGGGCAGGGGGTTGGAAAACTAAGCAGATGGAAGACAAAAATGTGAAAATTTTCACTTAATATTCTTTCTTTTACTAACTTTTTTGAACCACTCATTAGTATTTAAAATTTTTGCTTATACTACTTTAAACCAGGAAATGGAAAAAAGACCCAAGCTGGACACCACCACATGAGCCAAGCTGATGATACAATTGACTGTAAAATGAGGTTACAATTAAGAGCTGCAGACACTTATAAAGGATTTGAGAGTCTAGAAAAAAGTCTATGTTCATATACATTTAATCTTTATGGGTAAAGGCAGGCATAAATATCTCCATTACAAAATATAAAAGCTAGTTATAGCTTTAATTTGAAAGGAACATGTATAAAATCAGGGTAACTAATGAAGAGGACAAGTTCATCTCCAATGATTAGAACACTTTCCCACTGCTTCAGCCTGAGCCAAAACAGAAAATTAAGCCACCAGCCATCCTTTATTTTGATAATTGTTCAGATATTAAAACTGTATGAAATTAAGTACACAGAGGTGTAAATCCTTCTCTAGATTTAATTCAAAGTTCTTTTCAAAGTCTCCACGGTAGAACTATTATTCCACTGTTTAAATTTAGAAATGTATTTAATATCCATAAAATAGATCAGCAGATGGATATTAAGGCTCATCTAGTGCATTCATGGACAATACATCCCACAACCACCCTTTCTTTTGAGGGGATGGAAGTTTAATTGACATGGCTGGGATGGGAGCTTATGTTTCTTAGGAGATAAAGGTGTAGACTATCACATATATCCTTTTGGGAAATTTCAACTATGAGTTTTGAGAACACTTTTATAAGAGAAGAGGAAAAGGTGAGATAAAGCAGTGTTAAAATAAAATTGCCAGGCCTGATAGGGCATGGCTCAGCAGTCGAGCATCGGCCTGGGATCCAGGAGATCGCGGTTTGATTCTCAGTCGGGGCACATGCCTGGGTTGCAGACTCGGTCCCCATTTGGGAGCATGCAGGAGGCAGCCGATCAATGACGACTCTCTCCTCACCTCATTGATGTTTCTCTCTCTCTCCCTCTCCCTTCCTCTCTCTGAAATCAATGAAAACATATTTAAATAAAATAAAATGAAATAATAATAAAATCGCCAGAAGTGCTTTGTTCCATACCAATTATGTGTAAAAGGTCTATGAGATATAATACAGCCCAGCAGAGATGTCTTTAAAAAGTGTGGCACAGATGGAGAAAAAAAAAGGTGACACAAAAAAATATCACAAGGTAGAGGTCATACAAGGTTTCACACCATTATTATCCTAACTTCAGTGAAAATGAGCTCTAACATATTTAAACTAAACTTCTGATACTATTTCATCCTATTAAGAAAAAAAGTAAGGTTTCTGATACTTTATTTTTTGTTATTCCTCACCCAAGGATATTTTTTCCATTGATTTTTAGAGAGAGTGGAAAAGGGGGAAGAAGGGGAGGAGAAAGAGAGAAACATTGATGTGAGAAAGACACATTGATTGGTTGCCTCCAGCACATGGTACTTGGGCCGATGCTCTAACCACTAAGCCACACTGGCCAGGGCAGGTTTCCGATACTTTAAAAGTTACACTTGAATACAACAAATGAACTTTGTCTCTGCTAAAAAAGTAACATAGTGGAAATTTATTTTGTTCATTATAAAGCTATTATTCCATTTCATAAACAAAAAAATTTAATTTACCCCAAGGTGACCATCTTCCTCCTTTTCTCAACAGCAGGCAAGCCATTGATAACTGCAACCACAATAGCATCTGAATCCAAAGCCTGACACTGCCGGTCTTCGGATTTTGGCAGAATGTCACTGATAGTGCCATGTGTCAAGGCTCGGGGAGAACTATGCCTGCTCCCAGACTGAGAGCTTCCTGGGGAACCTACAGAAAAGGAAAGAGATATTCAGAAAAAAGGAAAAGTTCTCTCTCTCTAGTTTCCACTTTATAAGACCTTATCATATATACATTTTTAAACTGTAGGAAAACTCAAAAATAATTTAAAAATATACTGCAATCTTTTTGATGCCAACTATTTAAAATTAAGGCATCCAGAAAATGGAATCTAATGGCTCCATTCTCTTACTGATGGGTCTATTCTGTTGTGAGATCAAGAAGCTTTTAAATCAAATTTCAGCATTTTTGGTGCCGTTAAAGATCTAAAGCTATACCATAAGATCAATTCTGAATAACAGACACCTACCCATGAAAACTACATTCTGAACTCCCCAAATTTACCTTCCGACAGAGGTTGGCAGTCTCCCCTTGAATGGCTATTTTCCCCAGAGTCTACTGCTCTTCGAAGTGATAGACTGCCTGCTATACTGGACCGAGCTGGCTTGGGTGAATTACTCTTCTTATTTGTGGCTGCAAAGACATTTAAAAACATTTCTGAATATGAAAAATAGCACAAAACTCACTACACCTAGGCAGTCAGAGAAAGGTTTAATCATAACATGCATGGAAGGTATTCTATCTACTGTGTCAAAAACACAAACAAAACAAAACAGGATGCTTTGGTCCCAACTGGTTTATTAGGGTTTTATTCCAAAAGTATTCCTACTTTGCTGCTTATGGAGCAGTCTTAACTTATAAAACTTAAACAAAAAAAATCAGTAAACTTCAAAAAAAAACTATAGCAGACATAAAATCCAATCTCCATGAAATTAAACTAGGTATTAATAACAAAACTATAACCCATAAACACTTGGAAATGGTAAAATATTAGTGGATTGAAAAGAAAATCAATGCTGAATTAGAAATGGACCACGATTACAATGCTTCAAGATGTTTGTGGTTAAACCAGTAATTAGCAGAAAATATATGGCCTTAAAATGAATTAGAAAAAACTGATACTAAATGGCTTAATATGCATAGACTCAAGAAGCTAGAAAAAGAATTAAAATAAATTTTACAGAGGCAGAATAGATGAATTAAAGGGTAATAAACAGGTTCAGGAAGGTAAGATACAAGACCAATAATCAACTGTTTTTTAATATATCAGCAAAGACCAATCTGAGAATGAAACGTAAAAAACAATTCCACTTGCAAGAGCATGAGAGGAGACACTGGTAACCTAGGCGCAGCCTTCTATTTCCACCCAAATAAATCTTACCACCAGACCTCATCCTCCTATGTGGGTTCCCGAAAATGCTTTCCTTGTCACACAGCAAGGACTCCAATTCCACCAGCAACAATCTCACAACTCCCTCTCTCAACCCTTTTCAGACCCTTCTCCACACAACAAGCAAAGTAATCTTTGTAAAAGGTAAATTAGATCATAAATACCCGATTTATATTCTCTAAAGACTTCCTCCTAAAATCAGAAAACACAAAACTCTTTACTGAGGTCTTACAAAAAACCCTACCTGAGCTAGATTCTGCCTAACTCTCTGCTTACTCTCCCCCCTGCTGCGTTCACAGTATTCAGCCATAAGGGTCTTCCTTCAAGCCTTCAAACATGCAGAGCAAATCCAGTATCAGTGACTTTGCATTTTCTGCTGTTTACCCTGAACACTGTTCCCACGGATCTTTGCTTCTCAACCTTCTGGCCTCAGTTGAAATGTTGCCTCCTTAGACTTTCTCTGACTATCCCAACTAAAGGAACACACTCCTCACCTGCTCCTTCCACCCTACTCTTCTGTTGTTTCCTTCACAGCACTTTTTACTTACCAAGTGCACTTATCTTTACTTGCCTACACATTTAATGTCCAATTCCCACCATATAAATACATGACTGCAAGATCCACAAGGTTAAGGATTTTGTGTTATTTACTGCCCAGTGCAGAACAGCAATCAAGAAATGTCAGCTCTAGCCCTGGCCCGTGTGCTCCGTGGTTAGAGCATCAGCCTGTGAACCAAAGGGTCGTGGGTTAGATTCCTGGTCAAGGGCATGTACTTGGTTTGCAGGTTCGAACCCTGGCCCCAGTTGGGGCTCATGAGGGAAGCAACCAATCGATGTGTGTCTCTCGTTCTCTCTCTCCTCCTCCCTCCCACTCTCTCTAAAATGCAATGGAAAAAATATCCTTGGGTGGGGATAAACACAAAGGAACGTTAGCTCTATTATATAGTTAAAAATAGAGTCAGTTTTATTTTTTGTTAATCCTCACCGGAGGATATTTTTTCCATTGATTTTTAGAGAATGAAAGGAAGGGAGAAAGCGGGGGAGGGAGGGAGGGAGGGACATATTGACTGGTTGCTTCCCACATGTGCCCCAACCAGGCTGGGGATCGAATCCGCAACCCAGGTATGTGCCCTTGACAGGGAACTGAACCCAAGACCCTTTGGTGCTCAAGCTGACACTATAACCACTAAGCCACACCAGCCAAGGCAAAAATATAGAGTCTGTTTTAGATGGGAGAAAGGGCTGTATATATTTATAGTTTTAATTCCTTGTAATAGAGATTTTTAAGTATTATTATTAGTCTGAAAATAACCTGTCCTTTAGCTTCCCAACTGATATGTGGAGAAATGAAACTAATAGGATCTTTTTCACTTACAGTTTCGTATGTAACAACTGGCAACTGATGACTTTGCCAAGAGCTCCATTCCCAAATCTTGTAATCTGCCAGAATTTTCAGTTCCACATGCAGCCAGAGCTGCCTGGTCAGCAGAAAAAAGGTTTGTCTGCATGTCTCCAGAAGCACTGCTGCTTTTTATTTCTGAAAGTGGATTCTTTACATCAGTTTTCATACATCGAACTTCAGCCATTTGAGTTTTGAGTCTTTTCAGCATCTTTAAGTCAGAGGGAACTCGCCACATTGCCTGCTGCTTCCTTTGATCTTTATCTTTTCGAGAATACGAAGCTTGAGAGAAAGAAACAACTCATTTTAATATAGATGTCAATATTCATGAACCCATTTTGCACTGTGAAATATCCAAATCTAATGTGTAAATAAGATACAATGCTTTAGGTGGTATCAACAATAAAAGTATGTATTGAATACCATTAATAAAAATAAAGATAGTCACAAGTATCTTAACTTTATTGATACCTTCACAGTTAGAATCTGGGTCTCATTACAGTCACTTTAACTCTAAAAGTTTAAAAAGCTGCCTACTTCCTGTGCTTTCTTCTTTACATTTCTCTTACTTTTCTCACATTTCTACACTGGGTTTTAGTATGTTCATAATTTAAAATATAGCCAAATACTTAGTCAAATCTGATATAAAAATATATATATTCTAACTAAATTTAAAAAGCTGATTTACTGAACTACTATCCAATGCAGATGCAGCCATTATGTGCACTGGAACAACACAAATAGTTCCCTGTCGCTGGGTCTGCAGCCACTAAAGTAACAATGCTTTCTTTTTTCCCAGAGAAAGTAGTTGCAGTTGTTTTTAACTTCTTCTCCCCCTTCCCAAATATTAAAATAAGACGCAAGGAAAATATACTTTCTACTGCAGGAAGGTAAAAGGAGCTAGATATTTTGGAAATCAAAGATCGTGACTGACTCAAAGCAAAAATAAACCAAGCCAAAAAAACCCAAAAAACATGTGCACACACCACCCCCACAAACAGGGGACCAACAGGCACCCTAATTAGACAAAGGTAGATGTTGTAGTGTAACAGCCATTTCCTCACCTCCCCCTTGCAAAAAAGGACCAAGACTGTGTTCAGGTATCAGGTGAGCAGCAATGTGCTCAGGGAGGTTAGGTCCCCCCTTTGGCTCCAGTGGATATGGGTCCAGGACTGGTCTAAGCTCATTTCCTCTTTGATAGTGAGTCTAAGACTCAGTGAGGAGTAACTTCTGGGAAAGGTTTTCTATCATGATAGGGAGATTTATTGTATTATTTATCTTTCTTATTGTTCAAAATATTACAGATGTCCCTTTTTCTCCCCATTGACCCCTTCCACCCCACCTCTAGCCCCCTCCCCAGTCCCTCACCACACCATTGTCTGTGTCCTTGGGTTATGCATATAAATTCTTTGGCTAATCTCTCCACCCCCCACCTCCTCCTTCCCTCTGAGATTTGTCAGTCTGATCCATGCTTCCATGTCACTGAATCTATTTTGTTCATCAGTTTATTATATTCTTTAGATTCTACATATAAGTGAGATCATATGATGTTTGTCTTTCTCTGCCTGACTTATTTCGCTTTGCATATTATTATCCAGGTCCATCCATACTGTCCCAAAGGGTACGAGATCCTTCTTCTTTTACACCATGGAATACTATGCAGCTGTAATGTGCCACAGCTTTTTTATCCACTCATCTACTGATGGGCACTTGGGCTGTTTCCAGATCTTAGCTATTGTAAATTGCTCTGCTATGAACATAATGGTGCATATATTCTTTCTGATTAGTGTTTCAGAATTCTTAGGGTATATTCCTAGAAGTGGGATCACTGGGTCAAAAGGCAGTTCCATTTTTAATTTTTTGAGGAACTTTCATACTGTTTTCCATAGCGGCTGCACAGTCTGCATTTCCACCAGCAGTGTACCAGGATTCCCCTTTCTCCACATCCTCGCCAGCACATGTATATTTATTTAACAAACATCTATAAAGAGCTTACCGAGTGTCAAATATTTCTAAAATATTAAGTCATTTAATCCTCTCATATCAATCCTCTGAGGTAAGTACTATTACCTCCATTTTATAAATGGGGAAAGTAAGACACATAACAGTTACACAATACTCCAGGTAACACAGCTAATAAGTAGAGGAGTTACTGTATTATTTTCCATACAAACAACTGTAAACCTAGTTTTTGTAACTGTAAACACTGTATTTGTTGGATAGTTTCAAACTCTGATTTTCTCTTTGGAATATACTCCTAAAAGTAAAGTTATGTGATTAAAGGATAGAAATAATTTGAACCTACTATAAAATTTTCCTTCAAAAAGGTTAAATCAATACACCTATCTACAGAACCTGAACTTGTCTGGTTTACTAGGTCTTTAACAACAACACTGGTTATAATTTAGGCAAAACCTTTGTCAATGTGATAAGTTGTGGGTTTTTTTCCTTTTTCTTAAAAAGGCATTTCTCTGTTGATCACAAGAACAATGTATGATTTTTCTGTATAATTTTCTAAAATAAAAATGTCTCAGAAAAAAATGTTAAATTATATACAATGTGGTAAGTGTTACAAAAGTACAAGTATAATATAAAATGTACCTGGGTCATAGATAGCAGACAATTGTTTCATAACCTGGTTGTAAACCTACAGCAAGTTTAGCTTACAAAGGAAGGGACCTAAATAATCCAGCCTCTGAGAGTCCATCTCCCACTAGAGAAGTTCTAATTCTCTGTTTTCTACACTGAGACTCTACTTTACACTTTGAAAAAATGAGTTCCACTGCTTTAAAGCAGCATCAAAATCACTGTTCTAAATCACTGATTTAATTTGCATAATACTACTGTTTAAGAATGTAGGAAAAGGTTAGGTATATTTTTTTTAAAGTTTTCCAACAAAAATGGTTTTTAAAATGTGTCATTTAAAGGTATTCAAAATGACCATGCCTGAGAGTTTCAAAAAGTCCAACTTTGAGGATACCTCTAATATGTACGTGTATACACTGTATTACAGTAACACAAGTGTAATTTCTCTTCAACAAATAACCTTTGCACTTAAAATACTGCTAACTGGTATAGGCTTTTAGGCTACTGAAATCAAACTATAAGTAAACCATCTTTTTCTATATTCAATTTAGACAGAGTTCCACTTGGAAGTTACGGTATTCATGAGGTGTGCAAAACTCTAAGTCCATTTGCAAAGAGGAAAGCTGTACTTCATATGGATCAAACTGTCAATTATATACAATTTTTAAAAAACCTCCTTACAGGCATTTTGACATTATATTTGCACAAAACACCTTCAAACATTAACAAAAAATTAATTTGATTAATATAAAGATCATTTTATGACTTATAATGAAAAATCAATTTGCTACAGAAATATACTGTGTTCTAACACTTAGATGAAATACTTGGATTAAAATTCAAGAGTTCTTTTGGGGAACCACAAAAAAAGGGAAATCACTGTTAATATTTTACCTGTGGGCTGCAGCAGTGAAGCAGGTGGGCGAGGCTGTAAGCTCCACAAATTTTCCATACCGCTCCGGTCCTTAAGGTCCAACAAATGTATTAAAATGAAAGGGTCAATGTCTAATAAACTACTTGTAGCAGTAGAACATAAGTGTGCTCTTCTTGACATTCTACTACTGGCACCAACATAGCCATAGTTACTACCTGCAAAAAAAACAGATACAGAAAATGCATGCTATATTTCTATTCAAATTTAAGTATACTTAAAAAAGTAAACTGGTTAATGTTTGAATACTGGTCTATGGACCTCTCTCTTAGGAGTTGGTTTTCATGATGAGAAGCATAAAGAAGAAACCAGATCACCAGAGAGTATACACAAGCACAGGAGCAACACTCAAACTCATCCTGAGCTCTAGAAACAAAAAATGGCAATGTATACAATACATACAATTAGTGGGAGGAGAATTAGGAAAGGAGAACACATCTCATAACCCAGTGGTCTTGGAAGAAAGACAGATCCCCGTGGCATAACAGATCCCAAAGAACTAGACACCAAAATGGGAATCTTCTCCTGCAAAGCAAACTGTACAGATCCATGACAGTTAGGTAGACTCCTTTTCTAGCTTAATTAAGTACTAGAGCACAACCTGAAGATTTTAGACTGAACTTGTTAATGACTAATGCATAGTATAGTCATTTGTGAGCAAATGCCATATTTACATCACCTATATTGAACTAAGCTTTAAGTCAAGAAAACCACCTGACTTTTCTCCAGTGCTTAATACAATGCCTAACATATAGTAAATATGAAAATGTTGGTTAAAACCGACCTTTAATAGCTCTAGCTGGTTTGGCTCAGTGGTTAGAGTCAGCCCTCAAAACTGAAGGGTCTGTTTTGGGTTTGATTCCGGTCAAGGGCATGTACTTCAGTTGCAGGTTGACCCCTGGCCCCGGTCAGGGCGCGTGCAGGAGGCAACCAATGGATGTCTCTTACATCAATGTCTGTCTGTGTCTATCTGTCTGTCTCTCCCTTTCACTATCTCTGAAAAGCAGTGGAAAAAATATCCTCGGGTGAAGATTAAGAAAACAACAACAAATTGACCTTTAAATATATTTTACTGTAATACCTGGAAGCAAGTCACTAAGCATAGCTTACATTTAACGGTGTAGAGTTACGCTCCACCTCCTTGAAGAGGCAATAAAGAAAAAATTTGGAATTCTTTTGTATGTGTACTGTCTTTTATTTATATATATTATTCATACATCTATTCACCTTTAGATTATAAATTACTTAAAAGTAACTCTTTTTCATTGTATTTTCCAGAAATCCTGAAATAGGGAAGAATTTCAACAAATGCCTACCAAATATATAAAACTCCCCAAAGCACAAAATACAAATTAACTATTTGATTCACTATTGTATCCTCAGCACCTATAATTCAATGTCTAAACTATTAATAGGTATTCAAAAAATATTTCACGAACAAAAAAATTATAATTTCAGAATTACAGAACATGAGGTCCATGGGAACAGGGACATCTTTTTATTCAATACTGTAGCTCCAGATAGTAAAACAGTACCCAGTTCCAGTTAAGTGCTCAGTAAATATTTGGTGAATGAATTGAAAAATATAACCTCTAGTTTACCTAGAGCATCTAAAAATGTTATATACAAGAATTTCCCTACAAAACAGTTTAAGAGAGGAAATCACAGATTTAACTTTAAAACAAAAAAGGCTGAAAAAGATTCAGTAACCATGACTTAGTCATACTCATCTTCCATTTTATACCAAGACAGCCTCTGAATATATTTAATATTTTAATTTTTTAAAAATATATCTTTATTGATTTCAGAGAGAGAAAAGGAGAGAGAGAGATACAAACACCAATGATGAGAGAGTCTTTGGGGATTGAGCCCTCAACCTGGGCATGTGCCCTGACCGGAAATTGAACCTCGATCTCCTGGATCCTAGGTCGATGCTCAACTGCTGAGCCACGCCCGGCGGGGTGCCTCTGAAATTTTTTATGTACTATTTAAAACCTTAAAAATTACATTCAGCCCAGCCAGCATGGCTCAGTAGTTGAGCTTCACCCCATGAACCAGGAGGTCACAGTTTGATTCCCAGTCAGGGTACATGCCCAGGATTGGGGCTCGATCCCCAGTAGGGGACGTGAAGGAGGCAGCCAATCAATGACTCTCTCACCACTGATGTTTCTCTCTCTCTTTCCCTCTCCCTACCTCTCTCTGAAATCAATAAAAACATATTAAAAAAAAAATTACATTCAAAACTTAGTAATAAAGTGCATTTACTCAACAATTATCTGAAAAATATTAAATGCTCCCTATTATACTATTAAAAATGCTAGGGATACAAAATTAAGATGCACATTATATTGGTTTCATGGAGTTCAGAGGTGAAAAGCAAAATGGGCAGCTATATAAGCAAATAGAATAATGTTTAATATAGGTTAAATAGGTTTTACAGGTTCAAAGAGATTAATTTGAGAGAGCAGAAAAGAGGCAAGCAGTCTAGGAGGGCTTCTAGGAAGAAATGAAAAAAAAGCTAAAATAAGAAGGTAGACAGAACAACATACTGGGAAGCAAAGATGTGAGAGATACCATAGCACATCTGATGGGCTACAAATTATGCAGAGGAGTGTAAGCAGGCTAAAGAAATGAGCAGGAGCCAGCACATAAAGGGCCTTGTGTACCATATTAGAGAGTTTGGACTTTATCCTGTAAGTAAATGGAATCCAATAAAGGGTTTTAAGTAGAGAAGTGACACAATCAGATATCAATTTAAAGCAAACAGAATCACATCTGAACTCATGCTGTGGGAAACAGAATAAAGGGGAGAAAAATGGATATAAGGACCCCAGATAAGAGGCTGTTTTGAAAGACAGCAGCCTAGGATCTCATAGAATTTTATAAGGTAAATGAGATGAGGTACACAAAGTGCTTTTGTACAGTGCCTGGTACATAAGAACACATATCAAATGTTAGCACTATTGTTTTAAACACCATTAGTAATATATGTAAAATGTAGCACTTCCAACACCATGAGCTACCACATATTAAAATATGGTACGGTCAGAAAAGAGCAAAGACAGAATGGCTTATGGGCTTAACCCCTGTACCTGGAGGTCCTGCAGCAGCTGCATCTTCCATCAGTTCCCCCTCTTCCAATTCCATGTTGTTGTATTCCACATCATTTTCTCCAGACCTAAGAATACACAAAATTCATTATTCCCACAGAGTAAGTAAAAATTCACATTATTTGTCACATCTCAATGAATTTTATAACAATAGTGCATAGCTTTCTCTTGTGAAGACAGGATATTTCTAAATATAAAAATGAAGAAAAGGACTTTGGTCATTATTACATGTATCAGTACTATTAATAATCAAACTACCTTTAAAAAATACAATAGCTTGGCAACATTTTATAATTATTTTTTAAATCCTCACCCAAGGATATTTTTCCATTGATTTTTAGAGAGTGGAGGGAGGAAGGTGGAGGAGAGAAGCACATCCATTTGTTGCTTCCCACACTCGCCCTGACCAGGGCCGGGGATTGAACCTGCAACCGAGGTATGTGCCCTTGACTGGGAATCAAACCACAATCCAACCGGCCAGGGCAACATTTAATTTTTAAAAGAGAAAACCTGAGAACCATTGTAAGCAAAAGATTATAGCTTTAAATAATTTGTAACTTAAAGGTAGTAAATTAGGCTTAAAACACTACATTTTAAGGTTAAAAAAGACACTCAAATTACTGTATATACTATTTTCTTAAAATATTTCAGAAAAAAATGTTGTTACCCCCTATCAAAGTCCTCACAAAGTCTCATACCAAAAAACACTATTACTTTATTTTAAATGACAAAGTACTATATGGAAAAGCAGTAATCAATGCTAGTTTGGGGTATTTAAAAAAGTCTCAAGATTGCCTTGGTCAGGTGTTCCAGTTGGTTGGAGCGTCATCCCATACACCAAAAAGTGGAGTGTCTGATTCCTGGTCAGGGCACATACCTAGGTTGGGGGTTTGATCCCTGGATGGAGCATGTTTGGGAGGCAACTGATTGATGTTTCTCTCAAATCTATGTTTCTCTTTCTCTCTTCCCTCCTCTCTCTAAAATTATATATATATCCATCCTCAGGTGAAGATAAAATAATTACAACCCAGTTTGGAACGCAGAGATGAGAGAGATGAAACTAATTCAAGTCTTTCTTTCAAGATTCTTTATTTATAAAGATTATCAAGAAAAAATGCTAATATCCCCACTTTTAGGCCTACTTCATATGCTTCTAATTATCATGTAGGTGGCTTTATGATGGTAGTTAACGTGTGACACTCACATAGTTTCTTCATCGATGTCATTTTCCTCCGTGTTACTTGTTGCTGTGGAACTGGCAGAGGAACTGCTGCCATCAAGGTGATTTACTTCATCCTCACCAACAAGATCCAGATCCAGATCCCCATCTGAAAGCTCGTGCTACAACATGGCAAAGAAACAACATTTTTACCTCAAATAGATGGGTATGGACCAAGTGCTAAGCAATAATGGAAACATCAGAATTCTCTACTCCGGTGCCTAGACGCCTGAGCTGGAGAAAAATCACACAACCACATTACCTGGTACTACTAATCCTTTATTACTGCCAGTTTCAGCTGGGCCCTCAATATAACTGGAAATGTTTCATATATTCCACGTTAGCTTCCTGTAAGGCTCTAAACAGAGTAACACTTCAAACTACCATTCCTCAAATCCTACTTAACCTCTATTATCTGCAAGGTCACTGTAAAACCCTGTCACCTACCTGCACAGAAAACCGTACTGGCTATTAAACAAAAAAAAAATAAACATAAAACCCTCCAACTTTCAGCTGCCCCACCTGTAAACTCCACCCTACCCTTCCTTTACTTCATCCCATCAAACGGTGAGTGCTCTGTTCCAACCCCTTTTAATTTCCTTAAATACTTTGTTTTGTCAATCCCTTAAACTTATCTTCAGTCTCTCTTCCCAATGGCTCCTTCATTTTAATGTATACCTGAAGTCTCAAAAAGTTTGTTTCTGCATCTCTGTCTTACCTAGAACAAAAACAACCACTTCTTGAATTTTCATTCTGGGTGTTGTTTAGCTGGGACAAACCCTGGCTATCTCCCAAATCCTAAATCAATCTATCTACATATGCAATGATAAGGTATGTACTAGTTTCAGTGAATGGAAATAAAACGCATTTTTTTCAATTCACAACCTATACAGTTTCTAGAATGTACATCAATTTGTTTTGCAGAATGTAGCTCTCTACAATAAATTTTAAAACCTTAAAACACTTTGATTCATTAACTTCTGACTTGACTAACGGACACGATTTTAAGCACACTGATTCCCCTACATCATATGTTGAAAACCATCTTATTAATTTCTCTTATCAAACACAAAATAAATCTTAAAAAAATTGGTCTAATTATTACATGATAATCTTCATTCTGAATCTTCTCCTCATCTTCATCCTCTTTGGTCTCTCTTACAGAGGCTGAAGTAGGACTATCCTGGAGAAGCATGTCAGCACAGGACCCAGACTTCTTAGATCGTGTCTCAGGAGTGTCATCATTTTGGGGGCTAAGATGATTAGCTGGTGGTGACAAATCTCTTGACTTCTGAGTTCGAGATAACTCAATAGTGAGTCTCTTTAAGACAAAAACAGCACAAATAAACATGAATTATAAGCAGTGTTTCTGTGGTAAAGCAAAAAATATTTTAAGTAAAAAAATATAGTACGTTCTTACAACCATTTCTTATACCATCTCTCTCACTACCTGCCTTTTGCTTATGGAAAAATCTATGACAAAGAAAAACTGTCCAATTTATTCTCATCCAGCCCAAGCTACATATACAGTTAGCAAATGCTATAGTAAATACAGGCAGTTTTAAATAGTACATATAACATGAAAACCTCTGAAAGTATGTATTTATTCATATATTCCTCCCTCATCTATTAACCACTCTCAGCACTTCAAACCTTCCATCCCATCTCATTTTCCAATAGCAGAAAGAAACAGTCCTTACATAATTTAGTTTACTGTTGTAAAATAAAAATTAACTGATCCTCCCTAGTACTCGACTCAACAATAGTGAGCATTCAAGACGAGGCAACTTTCAGTTGTTCTATAGCTTTGAATCCTCTAAATTCAAGATAGCATGGGGAAGAGAAATACAGAAGTCACTGAGAGAAACACAGAGAGAGAACCTCAAAGTAGAGCAGCACTGTAATACAAGTTTATGCAATGATGCAAACGTTTGTATCTGCAATGCCCAATACAAGCATTTAAAATGTGGCCAGTACAACTAAGGAACTGAATTTTTTTGTTTTAATTAAGTTTACATAGACGTATGTGGCTACTGGCTACTGAACAGGAAAGACTTACAGGTTCAAAGGTGGTAAGGATGGAGAACAAAATAATAGGACTTTTTTACAAAATTACAAACAGCAGTAAATACCCCAAATCTAATTATAAATGTTAACAGGCCAATAAGACAAAATGAAACACTAAACTCAAAATATGTGGGGGGTTTTTCTTACCTCTTTAAGGTTATTTATTTGTTGGATATAACTAGTCTGTGCAGCCTCCAATTGAGTAATATACCAATGCTGGTCCCGGCATTTTTGAAAGAAAGTTGGTGAACGAACCTGAAACCTTAAAAGAACAGTTGCATGTGAAAAATAATCCCGAAAGTAACATATGATCAACCAAGCCTTGAATCTGTAACTATAAATTCTAAAACTTTGTTTCATTATATTATAAGGCCAAAATTCAAAATGCACTCATATTCACCATTTATACATGTAGTTCACAAATTATAATAAGGTTCTGGAAAGTCATCTATAAGTCAGTTGTCTAAACTTAAACTTTAGTTTTCTAAGGAAATAACATTGACCTATCATGGTTAACTACTAAAGCTTATTTACTATGATAATCTAGCTGAAATACAATGATGATCATGACTCGAGAACATGACCATACTACGCAGGAAGGAGGAAGCTAACATTTCCCTTCCCCTTTCTCGAATAGGTCAGGCCCTAGCAAAACAGGTAGTCTGTTTTGGGCACTGCTCTTTTTCCCTCCTTATTCCATCTCAATTCCCATATTTCTTGCTCCTCAGTAAAAAAATCACTTAAAAGGTCAACTACCAACCCCTCCAGATAGCAACTTAAAATCAAAACTCTCCATATATCACAATATGGCATATTCTAGCTAGAGTTAAGGAAAAAAACAATATCTATATTAAAACCTATTGAATGATAAATGACAGGGTCTTAATCTATTCAGAACTATTTGTACATTTAAAAAACTAACACTTATTAAAGAAAAAAAATCCCCAACCTTCTGTTATATAGCCAAAGACGACTCCATTTACACTAAAAAAAAAATGACAGTAACATATAAAAATGTTTCTGAAGAATCACAACAGTCAAGAGTAATTTGGAAGCCTGCAAATCCTCCTTCCAGTCTTGCCAACCTTATGTTAACTACCATTCCATTTTTTCCTACGATTTTACAGTTAGTGTAAGAAGCTACCGACTAATAGTTATCTGCATCAGGTATCTATTTTTAGTAAGGATACTCATGCATCAGAGGGTAGAAAAAATTTACTCAACCACCATTCTAAGTGGATACTGCCCAGACAGTATACACTAATATCTTTGAATGACTAATAAAACCACGGTCAACCCTGCACATTTTTAGTATTTGTGCCATTAAAACAAAAGCAAGCAGCCCTGACCAGTGTGGGTCAGTGGTTAGAGCATAGGCCCTCGCACAGAGGGGTCAAGGGTTCAATTTCCAGTCAAGGGCACGTACCCGGGCTGCAGGTTTGATCCCCAGCCCCTGTACGGGCGTGTGCCAATCAATGTTTCTCTTACACATCAATATTTATTTATTTCTCTCTCTCTCTCTCCCCACCCTCATTCCTCCTTTCTACTCTCTTTAGAAATCAATGGAGAAAATGTCCTCGGGTAAGGATAAAAAAGTTCTGGACACATTATTCCTTCATGATAAAAGCCACAATATCAAATGTTTCCTATTACCTTAAAATCACTGTATCATTTTGTCGATTCAAGTAGCCTTCATTTGCAAGTAAGTCCAAACGGAAAAATCTATTATAACCCCAACATTCTCCAACTTCAAAGTCAGATGCAAACTCTCGAATTATGTTTTTCGTAGGATCATTGCAGGACTGATGAACCATTTCTACACGATATTCATATCTAAAATTTAAAAACTAAATATTAATATAGCTGGTAAGCCAGAATAAAAAACAGACTCATCAAAACATTAAGTGAAGTTACTAAGTAATTACCCGAGAAGGAATTTATCAATATATACAATTACATTCTTTCAGAAGGATTGTATTATTTATAAAGATAGCAGTGTTGTGAATGGGCTATCCAAATATGACTGGCACTAGGTCCCTCTTTCCTTTCAATATTATTTATCAATATAGCAGGTATAAAATATCAACTCAGTAAATAAACAAATTTGTATAAAATAGTACTTTCAAAGTTACTTTTATTTTAGCAAAGCTATATATTTTCATATATTCATTACCTATATTTCCTCACATGTAAAAATTCTGCCATTTCCTTTGAGATTTATAACCATGCAATTTTAAAATAAACAATTCTGAAGTACTCTATTTTTCCAATTCAAGTTATAATAAATTAACTGCATATTCAGAAATTCAAGCCTATAAACTTTCTTAACGAAAAATAAGTATACATTGGGAAAGCCAATATATTTAAATTTCCTATTTTACAAAGTATAAAACTTGCAAGTCTTCAAACTCAGTTTTACTGAAAAAGCACTATTATTACAAAAAGAAAGAAAAACGAAGAAATAAAGATAATCAGAAGTAACACTCAATATTAATGTGGACCAAAAAGGGGTTCTATGGAAAGTAACCTTATCGGGTGATCTGACCATAAATTCCTAAGTGGTCATGGTGGGTAGTCATGCAGCAGGCCCATAACTTCTTTAGAAAGGTTTTTAAGACAGCCCTGTCCATCGTTCTTGTGCATCGAGGTTAACATATCTAGAAGTAGTACCCCTTAAAAGGGGTTATTAAGCCTCAAAAGAGCACACAATCTTAACTATCCTTTAATCCACTCCCCACAAAATAGTTAATAAAAAATGATAAGAGGAATGTATATAAATATACACTAAAATTTGTTATTTAATTACATGTCTTACTTGGAAGTTTCAGGCAAGCCAGCTGACAGTTCCAGAAACACAGATAAGTAGTAACCACGAACAACTCCATTTCCATCCTTAAAAAAGAAAAAAGAAAAACAGTTATAGAAATACAAACTCCAGATCAATTTAAATTAAGCCACAGTTAAACAAAAATAATACAAACTAATATATGCTATTTGAATTGGGAAGTACTTCTAAACTTAGACGCAATAAGAGAAATAATAGGAAGACCAAAGATTTGAGTTTTTAACAATTCAAAACTTTTGTACATTAAAAAAAACCACTTGAAAATATTAGTGACTATCAAGAGTTAAGTGTTTTAATATACAAAGAACTCTTAAAAATCAGCCGAGAAAGATGAAAACACCAACGGGTAAAACAAAAAACAAAACCACTAAATTTAACTAGGAATGAAACAAAAAATAATATTTAATACCAATAAAGAGTATAATACAAAAAGGTAACAGTTGATGTTGAAAGTAATTAAAAATCATTTCTATGTTTTATATGTTAGGATTTCATATAAGATTCTGTCTGGAGACTGAGAAGTTGTTTAAATTTCTATCACAGGATTTTGCAAAGATAAATATTCTACTCTGTATTTCTCTAGTACTTTGCTCACATGACGACTTTTTTAAAAGGGTTACATATCCCTACCCAGTTTTTCTCAAAGTATAGTCTTAGGCTTAAAAACAAACAAAAAAACCAAAACCTATAAAATGTACAACACAAAGAATGAACTCTAACGCAAACTGGAACCTTGGGTGACAATATGTCAATGTACATTCATTAACTACAACAAATGTATAACTCAGATGCAGGATGTTGATAGTGGGGAAGGCTGTGTAAGTGTGGTGCCAAGGGGTGTATGGAATGCTCTGTATTTTCTACTCAATGTTGCTGTTAACCTAAAACTGCTCCTAAAAATGAAGTCTGTTAAATAATTAAAAAAATAAGTACAGATCACCCCTCCCCAGAAACATCTACATACATTTATTTACCTATGTATTTGCTAGCTCTGTTCACTAAGGAGGTCTATAAACAGTAAACAGCTGAAATGAGCATCCCTAATGGCCAGTTAGGTCCTTAAATACAATTTCCCTGCTAAAAGAAATCAGGGTTATTTGGATAAAACAGCCAATTCCAGGTATGGAGTAAAAAAAAAAAGTACAAGATGAGCTTAGAACATCTTGCTATGGAAGAAACAAGATAGCTAACTACTAAGGTCACTACTAGGGAATATTAGGGCCAAAACAAAGGGGCACAGAAGCCAACTTGAAGAGATTAAATATATGTAAATCCATGAGTTCATAATATTTTTAAAAATCTAACTAATCACTTTCAGAGAATAGTAAGGAAAACTGGTAAGTAACAGGAAAGAATCCTGCCTCTTCTAAATTAACTGTTACTGAGTAACCAAATAATAAAGAAAAGGACCTCTTTATAAAAGTATTACAACTAATAAGTAAAAACACACCAATAAAATGAGAATATCACTGTTTTGCAGAATAGATGTAGGCAATGAGCATCAACAGCTGCCAATACCACAAAAAGGGATATGACTAGACATCATGTGATTAAAAACCAAACTACCACCCTGGCCAGAATGGCTCAGTGCTTAGAGCATCAGTCTGTGCACTGCAGGGTTGAGGATTGGATTCCCAGTCAAGGGCACATACCTGGGTTGCAGGTGGGATCCCCAACCCCAGTCAGGGCACATGTGGGAGACAAACCAATCAATGTATGTGTCTCTGTCACATTAATGCTTCTCTCTTTCTTTACCCCCCTCTCTCCTTCTATCTCCCTTCCCCCCTCCCTTCCACTCTCTCTAAAATCAATGGAAAAAATATCCTTACTCCTAGGGTGAGAATTAAAAACAAAACAAAACAAAACAAAACAAAACACACTACTACTTATATCCTTGCCATAGGAATCTACTATGTATCTCATCATGCCACTGGATCCAGCTGCCAATTTAAAGAAAATATATAGATCAAAGGAGCATACTGAAATGCACGATGAGTACCCAATCAGCACACATGTGTTCTGATGGCTTTCTGTATTTTATTTTTAAAAAGACTTTTATAATAAGAATTTTAAACATGTCTTCTAAAGATAAGTATCTTCCTACAAACAAGAAATAAGATTCAGCAATATGTCAGCGTTCATATTGTTCATATTTAATTCATTTTTTTCTGTAGAATTAGTAATAGAACTCATAAAGAAACATTGAAATTGTCATTATTTTAATTCCTTACTCCACCAAAAAAGTGAGCCAGTGTACTACAGAACCCTGAAAGATCGATCTTGGGTTTAAAAAAATTATTAAAAATATGTAAAACTTACTGGGTAAACTTTTAACCTCCAACAAAGTCCTGAAACTTGAAGAGGTGGACTGTAAACAGGATCTGCTCTCTGACGCAAAGTGCTAAAGAAAATCAACCAAATACCCAACATCAGAACCAAAACCAACCACTTATGTTACTTATTTCAAGCCATAGACAAAGTAAAAGAAGGTGACTAAACAAGTCAAGATTATACTGCATAAATTTATTTGCATCCTGAAATAAAACAAAATTTAATAATGCTGAAGTATTTGGCAGTAACTTTTCAGTTTCAGATTAAAAATACCCTCAAAACTGTGACATTTGTGAGAAAAGGAAAAAATAACTAAGTATCCTGAATTTAATTACAACTTCAACAAGCAGTTTTTCATCATTAAAGAAAAAAAAAGTGTCTCTCTTCCTCATATCCCTGTAGTATAATTATCCTTTTAAGTGGGAAAACAAAAGAACATGTTCCAAATCTTAATGCAAGTGGGAAAAGTCTCAGAAAGTTTATATTTTAGCTACAAGATTATCCCATAAGAAAAACAAATTATATATGCAATGGTATAAATTCTCAGTTTGGTCTTATTTTGATGGTTATCACCTCCTGGAATTTTCCTCCCCAAGGTAAGACCTTATATTCTTGGTATGCAGCCCTTGAAGACAAGTTCTTAGGACCTTTTTAAGATCTTTGTTTCTAATCTTAGAGAAAGAGCAATAATGGCTAAAAAAATTAACATGTAAGTTACAAAGCTTACAAATATCTTACAATAATGGCCTCTTGTCCCAGCTCCTCACTTTTAGTATAAATAAATAGGACCCAAATCGACTTGTTCTCATCACTTTTATTTCTGAGGATGGGTAAGGGGCTCATTGACCTTTATCATCCCATTCACCCCACCTAAAAAAGGCTAAGTGGACCCTCATTTAAAACATGGTTCCTTTCCCCAGACTAGAGAAGCAATCTGTCCTGAAGAAACAATACAATCCAAACAAATTACCACTATGTTTCTAATAGGAAATTTGTTTCTTCTAGGACAACACTGAGTGTCAGAGTTCACTAGGTCTATATCCTTTCCTGGAATAACACCTTCCTACCTCTTACTTATTTATATATACAAAAATCCAGAGTTGTCAAAAATTCTTACCTGAAATTCTCTAAAACAAAAGTAGCTGAATCATAAGATGGTACTAATTCACTAAAGAAAAAGCAAAGGCAAATTAATATTATTTAGCTTAAGTAAGTTTAAAATTTCATTTAGTTAAAAAACAGCAATATCTTAAAAATTTTATTAAGCGAAGTCCCTAAGGAATATTTTTAAATCCTTATTAAAAATAACATTAAATCAAGTAAGTTCTTAAAACCATCAAAAAATTATATCAAAAGTTTGCAAGGCATTTCATCCATTTATGAGTTTTCCTTTTGACAACATACATGTAAATGAGTTATAGTTACTGTATAATAATACATAAATGAGTTCTAGTGACTGGGTAAAAACATAAGTAAACTCAAAAGGTAAATAAAAGAATGAACAGAAGACAACATGAATGGACCTTGAGAGCATTATGCTAAGTAAAATAAGTGAGACAGAAAGAAAAATGCTGTATGACTTCATTTCTATGAGAAATCTTGAAAAAGAGGTCAAAAGGTACAAACTTCTAATAAATTATGGGACTGTATTTTACAGCATGGTGACTATAGTTAATAATAATGTATTGCCTATTTGAAACTTGCTAAAAGAGGACTTAAAAGTTCTCATCACAAGGAAAAAATTTTTCTATGTATGGTAATGGATGTAAACTATAAACTAGACTTACTGTGGTGATCATTTCTCAATATGCAAAATCTTATATCATTATGTTGTAAACCTGAAACTAATAGGGTATTATGTTGATTATATCTTAAGAAAAGGACTGAACGGACACTCATGAAATAAAACATGATCCACTATTTTTTTCTACAGCATGGAAGATGAAGCTCCAGGAAGAAACCAATTCCTAACTCACTACCATTTTCTCTTCACACTCAAAAATGTCTAACTCCAAAAGAATTTTTTTAAACCAGATTACATGCATAAGCTAAAGTTTGCTACACCACATCATTGTATAAATAACACCTTAAAAAATGAAGAAAAACATTTTCTTTTTAAAAACAAGTATATGCATTTGCACATAAACTTAATATGAAAGTGAAATTTAAAAACTGTCATACCTGGTAAAATCTGGTGGAACAGGAGTGGTAACAAAGGATGCCATGGGCTTTCGATGAACTTGCTGAAACATCATGAGGATCTCTGAGCTCTTAGATATCAACTCACTCTTACTACAAGATCGTAACTGTGTGAAGAAAAAAATTACCTGACTAAATAAACAAAATTACTGTTCAGTAGCACCTCAAAATCCCTAATAAAGAAAATAAAAATTGTTCTGGTTATATACTAAAAAAAAAAAGAGATAAAAAAATAGAATGACTCAAAGTGGGTTTGAGAATTAAAAATCTACAAAGAATCTAGGTTTATTTATTTATATTCTAATGGTAAAGTCACTACGTGTATTTGATTTTTATTTTTTTTTTAGAATTGGGTGCTTTTATTTTATTAAATATATCTTTATTAATTTCAGAGAGAGGAAGGAAGAGGGGGAGAGAGAGAGAAACATCAATGATGAGAGAGTCATTGATCGGCTGCCCCCTGCAGGCCCCTGTCTAGGGATCAAGCCCGCAACCCGGGCATGTGCCCTGACCGGGAATCGAACCGAGATCTCCTGGATCCTAGGTCGATGCTCAACCGCTGAGCCACACCCGGCAGGGCAGTGTATTTGATTTTAAAGCATTTTTCTCTCCTCATATAGTACAGTAAATCCAACTTTAAAAACTACAAATATACTTTACATTGCTACAGTGAAGCCATTATGTATATTAATGAACAAACCCCTACAGGTTTATAGTCTTCAAACAAGGATTTCTCAAAATGCATTCTACGGACCAGAGAAACCTTAAGATGTAAGACATACACAAAAGTGTTAACCTATACTGATCTGGGAAAAAGCCAAAGGTAAAATGTCAGAAATCCAACTTGAGTAAAATAAGCATGGTAGTTAAAAGACTACTAATTTTGTATTTAAGACAACCAGTTTGATGTCCTAGTTCTGCTACACACTAATTATATGACTCTGAGAGTCTGTTTATGTGTAAAATTGGAATAATATCTATGCTTGATTTGCTGGGTTTAACAATCACGAAGCTGCATATGAAACAGCACGTAAACTATTAAGGGCTGAGTTGCGTCTCCCCAAAACTCGTAAGTTGAAGTCCCAACCCTCAATACCTCAGAATGTAACTATATTTGGAGATAAGGTCTTTAGAAAACACAGAGAAAAGGCAGCCATTTACAAGCCAAACTGAGGGAACCTCAGGGGAAACCAGGCCTGCCAATACCTTGATCTTGGACTTCGAGACTCCAGAAAAATAAGACAATTTTTTACTGTTTAGGCCTCCCCCGAGGATATATTTTTATTGATTTTCAAAAGGGGGGAGAGAGAAAAATCGATGTTGAGAAACATCGATTGTTTGCCTTCTGTATGTGCCCAACCAGGGGCCCAACCTGCAACTCAGGTATGTGCCTTGACTGGGAATTGAACCAGGCAACCTTTCAGTGCACAGGACAATGGTCAACCAACTGAGCCACTCAACCGGGCATAAATATTTAAATGTTCTTGCTTTTCCCTTCAACACTCCCACTCATAATTGTACACGTCGTTTCTCTGGCCCAGAGACTTTATTTTATCCCCTCCAGAGAATAAACCAGCAACCTTCAACTAGAGTGACATGACAAATTCAAATCAGCTATGGTGAAGGGCAGGGATCTGGGGATTGGTGTGGTTTTTTTTTGAAAAAAAAATAATAATAATAATCACAGGTTTTTTGAGGAATAATTGATGTAAAATAAATTGCATGCATTTAAAGTGTATCATTTGATAAGTTCTGACAAATGTATACACCTGTGAAGCCATCACCATAGTCAAGATAATGAACATAACCATTATCTCCCAAAATTTCTTTGTGCCTGTTTGTAAGCTTCCTGCTTCTACCTATGCTTCCTCCTCTAGACAATCTATCTGCTTTCTTTCATTAGAGATAAGTCTGCATTTTTTAGAGTTCTATGTAATTGGAATCATACACATTATGTACTCATTTTATGTCTGACTTCTTTCACTGAGCAAAATTATTTTGCGATTTGTTCACATATGAACTGTAGCTTTATTTGTAAAAGCCAAAAACAAAAAAGCAACCCAAATGACCATAAACAGTTGAATGGAAAAACAAAGCATGGTATGTAACATACAATGGAGTTCTATCAGCAATTAAAAAGGAAAGACAGATGAATACAGTGCTCACTTCAGCACACACATTACCATCTGAACCATACAGATAAGATTAGCATAGCCCCTGCACAAGAACGACACATTAAAACAGAAAGCTAGTGAATATCTCAAAGTTACATAACACTACACATTTATTCATTCATTCACTATATACTTAACACCCACCAATATAAACTCTATGAGGATAGATTTTTCCCCCCATTTTGTCCACTGCTGTGTTCCAAACACTTAGAATAATGCCTGCTGTTTGATTCTTAATTAAAATTCCCTTAATAAAATGCTTTTAGACTAAGAATCACTATATGGCCCTGGCCAGTGTGCTCAGTGGTTAGAGTGTCAGTCTGTGAACCAAAGGATCTCAGGTACATTCCTGGTCAAGTGCATGTACCTGGGTTGCAGGTCTGTTCCTGGCCCCAGTCGGGGCACGTGCAGGAGGTGGCCATTCGATGTCTCTCTCTCTCATGGATGTATCTCTCTCTTTTTCTTCTTTCTTCCTATCTCTCTCCCTCCCTCCCAGACCACTCTCTTTAAAAAAAAATCAATGGGAAAAATATCCTTGGTTAAGAATTAACAACAACAAAATGAATTCCTATATGTAGGTAAATGGCAATAACATTCTCTCTCAAAGGCACCACTTAAGTCACAGTGTCAGAGATTTTAATCTTTTATAGATTTAGATGTTATGCACCATTCTTAAAAAGCAGAATAAATCTTAATTTTATCTAGTTCCCAAACATGATGGAGAAACCTTGAGAAGAATCAGCTAAACTCTATTTCATAAAAATCCCCAGTATAGCACATAGATCGCAAGATGTTTTGATCTTATATAAACTCTATTAAAAAAGAATTTTAAAGCATATGAACAAAAAAGGATAAAGACTTCATTACATTTAATATTTCATTACCTGGTGCTCTACCTCCTGAAGTAAGGATTCTAAAAGCTCTGTTTCTTGTGTTAGAGAAGTCTTCTGACCTGATTGGAAATAGCAAAACATCAATACTCATGTTCATTATTGGTTTAATAATAGAATTAACTTTCACTAAATACATTCAATAACAAGAAATCAATTTTAGGTAACCTAACTTTTTCATTACAGCTACCCTAAAAAGTTTTCCCAGACCTTTAAGAGGTTGATTCTAATATTCTAATAGCTTTGACAAGAGGATTTCAGAACCAAGCCCTAACTAGTTTTAAACAAAATACAATTTAGATCTATTAAATTCACCTAAGAAATATACAATGACATACTTTGTAAAGAAATCAATGTTACTGCTTCTTCCAAAAGGGCTATAGTGATCTAGAACAGTAAATTTTACTCAGTCAACTATTCTGAAATAATTCCTCCCCAAAACTTAACTGTAGCTTAAAATGAATATAGTATCGTGGGCTAAAATGAATGTAGTAAGTGGGTCATATATTTATGTTTACTGTCAGCAAAAGATATGTTCTTAGAACATAAGAAGCACCTGTGAAAAATGAAGGCCCCAAAAGTTCTCAAGAAACTGGAAACACGCAGTAATAAAGAAATCATTATTACAGAAATTATCAAAAAGGAAGAAACTGCTTCACATGTTAAAAAAAGAATGCCAAGATAGACATACTTGCCTAATCAGACCACTTCCTTTTTAAATCACAAAGTCTGAAGAGCTGGAAGCATATCCCATGAGGCTAACAAAAGTTATATTAACTTGGAGTAATGTTTTTGATAAGGGGAACACTTATTAGTAGGAACTTGTATTTTTTAAACCAATCTTTTCCTAGCCTAAACAACTCACCAAACTTTTCTCTTCAAAGACTGAACCTCAAGAAGACTCAAAGTACCAGGTATCCCAGCCGCATAGAAAAACACTCACCCATCAGTGTGATAAGCTTATTTTTCAGCTGTGTGTCTAGCCGTGCAATCATCATCTCCACTGCATTCCTAATTTCCCGAACACGCTCATCTTTTGCATTTCTTACAGCTTCTACATTTCTTTCCTAAGAAATAAACAGGTTGCGGGTTCGATTCCCAGTCAGACAACACACCTAGGTTGTGGGTTCAGTCCCCTGCTGGGGCACATACAAGAGGCAACCAATTGATATTTCTCTCTCTTTCATTCTGCAGAGTTCTAATTCAGGACATCAGAAATAATTCACTCCTCGGTAGCAGAAACTCCCAAAAGCTGAGGGTCCAAAGAATGAACAACGTAATGACTTTCTAAAAGTCAATATTGATTTTATAAAAAAACAGGCTTATTTAACTCATTAACTGATTCTCTATTTCTGTGTAAGAGGCAATTCTCTGGCTCCAACTGTAGAACGGGCCAGGGGATTGGATCCAAATTCCTCGGCTAGTTTGAAGTTGGTGAGATTTGACTATAAATATATCCTACCAAATTTTCAAATCTTGATTTTAACATCTGATTGATTTATTATAAAAATATACATTACAGCCTGGTCGGGCGTGGCTCAGCGGTTGAGCGTCGACCTAGGATCCAGGAGATCGGGGTTCGATTCTCGGTCAGGGCACATGCCGGGGTTGCGGGCTCAATCCCCAGTCGGGGGTGTGCAGGAGGCAGCCGATCAATGACTCTCTCATCATTGATGTTTCTCTCTCTCTCTCTCCCCTTTCCTCTCTCTGAAATCAATAAAGATATATTAAATATATATATACACATTACATAGTAGAGTATAAAAAGGATAATGATCTTTTAGTAGTAGTCTTACCACTTCTTGAACTAAGCTGATTAGTTCCATGAGACGCCGACGAAGTTTGGCTACCTCTTCATTCACTTTAGTAACATGCTGTTCGTAAATTTCCGCCAAAGGTTTAAAGGTATGTCCACCGTGCTATTTAAATTAATAAAGTAGTTTTAAGACATTTTCATATATCTCATCTGCATTTACATTCCTTTATTAACACTCTATGAACACTAGTATACTGGTAAATATTTCCAAATGAATTTTATCTTTTTGGCTGCCTTTACTTTGTTAAAACAAGTCAGAGCTTGCTTAAAATCACTTGGCCCATGTAAGAAATCCTTCAATTTTAGATAAAGATCTTAAGCAAAATGTTAACATTTATCTAGAAATCTTCACTCATTAGAAAGAACCAAAACCCTTAATCATGGCCAACCTCATTTGCCACTCTTTTGGTCAGCACTTGCCTTCTTCGATGTCCTCAAACTTCTTCCCACCAGGCCTTTGCAAAAGTAACTCCAACTTATTAAAAAACAATTCTCCTTGATGACCTTCCCTTCCAAACTCTACACCTCTTAACTCCTACTCATCCTTTGGAGCTTAGCTCAGGATTAGAGGGACAAGTCCCACAGTTATCCACTCTTATCAGCAATGTATATTTATTCCTAATATCCATCACAACAATTAAATAACTAGTTGTTTGATATCTGTCTTGTTAATCACTGAATACCCAGTCTCTAGCACAACTGAATAAATTAGAAAGACATTTGAAGAAAAGACCCACGGTACACTATTAGCAAAAGCAATGAACCCATTCCTCATGCCACAAAGTTACCGCAGAGACAGAACACCCATACAAATTAGCCTTACAAATCCAGTCGTATTCAAAGAACAATTTTTTAAAGCTAAAAGCCTAAAATCAATTTCCTATCCAATTTTAGTACAGTAATTTATAACTCTCTGGATTGGTAAATAAAACTTAAATTTCTATTACAAAGAATTTCCTATAATAGGTAAGTTCTTATTAGAATTGTCTTGTTTGCCCGGCCAGTGTAGCTCAGTTGGTTGAGCGTCACCCATTGCACCAAGACATCACTGATTCAATTCCCAGTCAGTCATATGCCCAGGGTGATGGCTCGATCCCCAGTAGGGGGCATGCCAGAGGTAGCCAATATATGTTTCTCTCTCATTGATATTTCTGTCTCTCTCTCCTTCTCCCTTCCTCTCTCTTTAAAAATCAATAAAAACATTTTAAAAAAGAAAAAAAAAATTGTCTTATTTAATTAAAACATCCAACTGTGGTCTCTAAGAAAAAAAAGATGCAAATTTTTGCATGTCCACTTAAAATATGGAAAAGAATGTTTCCATTGCTTCTTACAAAAACCACTTAAAGTACTAAATTGTGGGAAATGAATTTTTTCTAGTTAGCACAGTACTCTTCAAATTAATAGAAAGCTCTCTGAATTGAGCTCTACTCAACCAATTTGCCTGCCATTCTTTCTCCAAAATATGCTAACTGATGACCAAAGAATGATTAATTCTCATTGCTAACAGGCACCTCTAGATGTCTAACCACTTCTGCTCCCACTAGGAATAACTTTCCCCACCAAGAATCTACTGTTTATTCTCAAACCTATTTATGCTTATTGTACTTATTATTGTAAGTATATAATTTAATATTAATTAAACAATAGGACACAAATATAAAATAAAAAGCTATTTCTAGGAAAACTAACTTGAATGTTTTAGACTTGATAGGTAGGTAACCTTAAAAAACTACTTTTGAATTAGATGGGGAGAAAAATTTAAAAACAAATCATAAGATCTAGATGTTTGCATTCATATTTTTCACAAAGTTGTTGTTCTACTTTAAATAAACCAAAATTGGAAATTGTGGCCAAGATACGAGATCAACTGAACTTTAAAAAAAAAAAATCTTGATTGTACAAAAGATTTGCAGATGAATATACATTTTATAGGTTTATAATTAAATGAAAATATTTATGTACAGGGTACATATCCCACATCAGAATCTCCCACAAAAGTTGTTTTTCTGGAATAACAGAAGAAATTATACCATCTGCTACAAAGCAGAATCATTTAATTTTCATTCTACAGACAAAGTAAAATATTATTTTCTACCTAAATCAAACAAGTACTTCAGTGCTTTCTAGTCTCTAACTAAAAATAATATGCTGAATTTGTTCTGCTCACCATTCCTCCCCAAAGTGCACACTGATGGCAGATACACTTCTTACAAGTCCAGCAAAATACACTAAGTTTTTCATGGTGATTTTCACATCTATATATCATGAAAAGAAAATACAGTTATAAATTAAATAAACTAGAATTGGAACATAATTACCTCAACAAATTCCTAAGTTTGGGCAAACAGGTTGGTCAATTTTAAGCAATTATATCTCAGGAAACAATATAAAATGTGTTCCATAGCTTCTTCTGTAAATTAAGCTAAAGAACTACATTGGAACACAATTTTCTTAAAGTAGTCTTCATTAATCTATAGAAACTTAGAATCACATGAAAAATGCAGACTAGTTTCTGAATAAAGTACAAATATAAACATCATTTCCTAGTATCACTATAGATCAGCCATTTTCAACCTTTTTCATCTCATGGCACATACATAAACTTATTACTAAAATTCTGCAGCACACCAAAAAATTTATTTTTTACTGATTTGACAAAAAAAAAAAAAAAAAAGGTATAATTTTGATTCATTCACACCCAATGGCTATTGTTGTGTTGGCTGTTGTCATTTTTTTACTTGTCAATCTAAGGGAAAAGAGGTGAGTGTCACTGACTGAAATAGTCAAGTACTGCATGTTTTAAAAATTCTTGCGGTGCACTGGCTGAAAACTGCTACTACAGATGATAAATTCTAGCCTACTACTACATTTTTGGGCAAATCAGATTATGTGTTTATATCTACATGAGCATGTATGCATGCACAAATACTTTTCCTACATGTGCCCAATGCTAACAATAGGATGAAAACTGAATTCAATTTTAAAGTTTTCCCATGCGCGCTTTGGCAGTTCGTATACCAAAATTGGAACAATACACAGATTAGCATGGATCTTGTGCAAGGATGACACGCAAATTCATGAAGCATTCCATATTAAAAAAAATAAAATAAAATGTTTTCCCTTAAATTGGATGTCTACGTGCAAAAGAACGAAGATGAACCTGATTATGAACTGCATTCACCGCCACCAAATTCCTATGTTGAAAGACCTAATATAACCGTACTTGGAAACCAGGCCTTTAAGGATGTTGAATAAGGTCATAAACACGGAGGCCTAACTCAACAGGACTGACGTCCTGACAAGAAAAAGATGCCAGAAGAGTATAGGAGCAGAGAAAAGGCCATGTAAGGATACAGAGAGAAAAAGCCAAGTCAAGGAGAGGTCTCACCAGAAACCAAATATGACAACACCTCAACCCCGAACTTCTTTCCAGCCTCCAAAATTATGAGAAAGTAAAATTCTATTGTTTAAGCAACCCAGACTGTGCTATTCTAGTATGGCAGCCCTAGTGGAGATTAGTTGCGGACAATGTGAACATCCTTAACACTGCTGAACTGTACACTTAAAAATGGTTAAGGTAGTCAACTTTGTTATGGGTATTTTACCACAATAAATTTTTTTTAGTTTTCTCTTGCCTTTAAAAGAGACTGTTGCACTTGTTTTGTTCATCACTGAGCTTAAGAGAAAATATCTAAATAGATCTACATTTTATACTCTCATTTATAAGTAATATGAATATCAAATAGAAAATTAACAAATGAAGAAACAGCATCCTGTCTGGACACTCATTTAGAATGATTTCCACACCACCAAATTTAGGATGTATCTTTTAAAATATAGGAAATTTATCAGAACAATTCTTACTCAATGACCTATAGGCACCTTCAGCAAACCCAAAGGGAGCCAGTAGGCATCAAGAGGCAAAGAAGAGAGATTAGCACATTAGCAACTGTGGTAGTTCCACTCCTTTTATCAAAAGCTCTGATAAAAGAAGCCAATCAAGAGTTAGAAGGATCTTTCCATATAGTAATACCCACACCACATCAGAAGAAAAATACCTGTGTTCACCTACAAAACTAAAAAACAAAACAAAACAACTTTCAATAGTTTCATTAAAATAACATATAACAAAATCTATGAAATACTTAAAGAAATTGAGGACATACTTGTCCTTTTCGTTTTCTTCATGTTTGGTGAGACTACAGAGCTGAAGAGTATCAAGCTGCTGTGTTACTTCTTCTGCCCAACGACAGTTTACTAGTTCTCGTAGCTGGAGTGGTGCACTGGAGAGAAGATAGATACATATATTCTAATTAAGGAATCTGAGATCATTTTCTAAAATAAATACATTCCAAAGGTAAATATGTGAGGTGATGGATATGTTAACTAACTCATGGAGGGGAATCCTTTCACAATGTATACATGTATCAAATCACCAATTAAGTATCTTACAGTTTTTTCAGTTATATCTTAATAAAGCTAGGAAAAAAGAAATTATCAATTAAGAAAAAAATACACTGGCTATAAAATGCAATTAATCAATTTTGGTGAACATAAAAAAAAAAACCACAAAAGAAAAAAGCCCACCACATTTCTCAAAATAGAGCTCACAATCATATTCATACCAAATTACTATTAAGATAACGATGCAATGAAAGTATGTTTTGCAACTTAATTTTATGTATGTATTTTTTAACTATCTTTACTGATTTCAGAGAGAGGAAAGGAGAGGGGGAGAGAGAGAAACATCAATAATGAGAAAGTCATTGATCGGATACCTCCTGCACGCCCCCGACTGGGGACTGAGCCCACAACCCAGGCATGTGCCCTGACTGGGAATCAAACCTCGATCTCCTGAATCCTAGGTTGATGCTCAACCGCTGAACCACACCCGGCTGGGCTGCAACTTAATTTTATGTTAACATATCATTTAAAAAAATAACTAAACAAAAAACACTGACAATTCAGATTACAGATTGAATTCTTAATTCCTTAGTCTAAAGCAATATTGTCAAAAATGATAGCTACTAGCCACATTATTTAATTAAAATAAAATAAAAATAAAATTTCATTACAGTCACACCAGACATTTCAAGTGCTACATGTAGCCAACAAAATGGATAGCACAGCTACAGAACATTTGCATTATTACAGAAAGTTCCATTTGATAGTGCAGGTATTCTTAAAAGTTAATATGGCCCTAGCCCATCTGGCTCAGTGGTTGACTGTTGATCTATGAACCAGGAGGTCACGGTTCAATTTCTGGTCAGGGCACATGCCTGGGTTTCGGGCTCAATCCCCAGTAGCGGTGTGCAGGAGGCAGCCGATCAATGACTCTCTCTCATCACTGATGTTTCTGTCTTTCTCTCCCTCTCCCTTCCTCTCTCTGAAATCAATAAAAACTATCCTTCAGTGCAATCTGGTATCATTATTTGAAATAATCAAAACTGGAAACAATCTAAGTGTCTCTCAATATAAGCATAAATAAATCAATGTATGGTCACATAATAGGTAAATCAAACATTTTCTTAAATGACATTGTGTACATCAAGAAAGGTACCACCATATTTTATATTTAAAAAGCAAAATAGTATTATATCATTTCTGTGTTGTAAGAAAACAATTACATGTATACATATCAGTATATACACAGAAAAATGTTTAGAGGAATAGATAACAACCCAACAACTTCACCTGAAAGGGCTATTTCATTAAAAGACTAGGTGGAGAATAACAGAATTAGAAGACTTTTTATTTTATATTTATCTATACTATCAAGATTTTTAAAACCAGAAACCTTTTTATTTTTTAAGTTACACGTTTTCTAAAGGAAGATAAGCAATGTAATGCATTCTACATAATTCTAAGTCAGATAAAGTAGTTTGCATTGCTATCTCTAGACAGATTACTTGTTTTCTTTTCAGCTGTATTCACAAGAGAGGAAATGTAGCAGATTGCAGAAAGAATTTTATGATTAGAGCACACTTGGACTCCATCACATTATTTTCCAAATTCACAAATGATCACAGCAAAACACTTACCGGCAATGAGGACATTGAGCTCTCTGCTCTGTCAGCCAGCGCTAAGGACGCCAAGAAAAAAAAAAAAAAATTGATTGTAGAAACACCATTACTTTAGTTTGTACATACTGAATACTTATATACCAGATTTAATAAGTTTAACTCTCTAGTGCCTGCATTAATTATAGAGATACTTATAGAAATCATAGATGACCTACTGTCTTCCTCTCATTATCATCGTGACCAGGACAAACTTTCAAAGGGACAGAACTCATCCCAAAACAGTTAAGAAGCTATTCTCTCATAGGAAAGAAAGTGACCCTAGAACTATCTGGATCTCACAGGGAAGATGTGAATAATCTTCACAAAAATAATGATATTGTCACGACCACCTCCAAACATAAACCACAGGGTTTTTCTTCTACCTAACCTACCCTAGAATCCGCGAGGAAGTTTAAGGAACTACTAAATTCCTTTTTAGAAAAGCAAACTAGTCTTGAAGCACATACATTATATATATATATTAGACCTAAAATACGAATAAGCAATATAGCAAAACTTTGTCTTGAGTTCCACAGTTCAATAACAAACATCTACATAACTTTGTTTCCTCAAAATTATAAAAATGCTTTACAAAACCTTTTAATTATAAAATGTCTCTACTAAACCTAAATTACATGAATCTAATCGTTTTAATTATTACTGGATAGGGAGCAGTATCACACCATACACAAAGGAGATGCTAATATTTTCAGAATGCCCTTCCAAAAACCATATTTATGGTTAAATATTTTTTGTTTTAATAGTCTGGTAAATAGGTTCAGAGGTAAATGAGTAACTATATAATCCTATACCTATGTATTGCCAGTATCTGATATTTCTGTTTATCCCTATGTACTTCTATAAAAGAACATAAGCTTTTACCTAAAGTCAACTAATTAGTTCAGAAATAAAATTCCCAAGGAAACCTTAGAGGAAAATAAAAATTAAAGGCAAGAGGGAAAAGGTACTTCACAGCAAAATAAATATATAAAGCTAGAAGAAGAAAATAGATGGAAGAGGACTCCTCCATTCTTTATAACCTTGAAAGTTATTTCTTTGGTCCCTTGGCAAAAACAAGATTTGGGTCAAGTTTCTTCCTCTGAAACAATGCTCCGCTAAAGTCATAGCACCCCCCCAGGGTTGCTCTCAGCCCACACCTCCCTAGCCTCATCTTCTACTTTATCCTAGGGGACCCAGCAAAATTAAGCCTGTAAATGTATTTGGTATCTCACTGCCCAGGATATTGTCACTACCTCTCTTCAAATGGTTTATTCCTACTCATCCTTTAGATTTCAGTTTATATACCACTTCCTTCAGAAAGCTTCCCCTGACTCTATAGAGACTATTTTAAATACCACTGCCATGCTCTACCACAGCAACCTGTACTTCTCCCTTCATTGTGCTTATGGTCTCCCTTCTCCTGCTTCACAGTAAGCTCTATAAAGGTTGGGGCCAATTTATTTTTTTAATATACTCCTCCCATCCAAATAGGCTTACTGTTGCAATATATACCACTCTTGACATCAGATCTGTGTATTTGCTTGTACAGTCCCTCTCTCCATGTGCTCTCACATGGCAATGTCCATTGATTATAACTATAAAACTTTCCTGCCTATCCCAAGCTAGTGACCTTTCCCTTCTCTGTATATAAGTATGTGGCATTTTTACCTTGTATTCCACAATCTAACTTAATCACAAAATAAATACAGCAATTTTAATACTTTGGGGAAAACAACTGTTTCTTCCAAACCAAAACCAAAGGTAAGAACCAATGAACAATATTAATGCATAATATTAAAGAAACACCTTTATAGTAATTCCTCCACATTCAACTGAAGAACTAATCTCTTTCTCTCATTAACTGGAAGAATCACAAGCTTTAGACATCTCCACAGTACTAAGCGATATACATTGATGGTCTCCCTATTAAGGAACATTCATTTAAGATATTTTTTAAAAGGGCACAAAAATGTAAAGTAAGAAAAAGATAAAGAAAATAGTTAATTTCTACAATATATCCTAAATACATGGGGGGAAAAAATACGACTTACCCTGATACAGCTGAAACAACAAAGCTTGGAGCAATGAGGACATAGGCGTGCATCCCGCAATTTCTCCATACAGATGAAACAACGGAAAACCTCAGCAATGCTCTGAAAATAATAAAAGATGCAAGGCCCACCAGATTAGGCTACTGAATCAAGAGTAAAAAAGCATGATTAAAATAATTCATGTGACATTTACATTTATTTTGGGCTGATAACATTTGTTTTAACTTTATTCCATATCAAGACTTGGTTAGCCAAGGTCCAGAGTACCTCAAAACATCTAAGATTCACAATGGCTCTATTCTAAGGAAAGAATATGAAATGCAAATAGAGACTTATGCACAAATATTTTCACTGAAGCATTAATTATAATAGTAGAATCTGGCTGGCTCAAATAGTAATTAAATTATCAGTTAACATAGATTATGATACAATCAATACAAATATTTCAATTATTTAATGATACAGAGAAAAAAAAGCAAACTATATAATTAAAGGAACAATATGGACTTTTTTCTTTTTGTGCAATTTCCCCAAGGGGGATGAATTGCTTTTATAATTTTTTAAAAAGTTTTAAAAAGGTACATATCCTAATAGTAGTGTACTTTTGATCAATGCCTTGGCTGGGTAGCTCAGTTGGTTAGAGTGTCATCCTTATTGGCCAAGATTTCGGGTTCAGTCTGGTCAGGGCGCTTATAGGAATCAAGCAATAATGCATGAGTAGATGGAACAACAAGTCGATGTTTCTCTCTAAAAATTCAATAAAGCCCTGGCCCATGTGGCTCAGTTGGTTGAGCGTTGTCCCATGCAACAGAGGGTCTCCGGCTGGATTCCAGGTCAGAGAACAAGCCTGAGGTTTCAGGCTAGATTCCCAGTAGGGGGCAAGAAGGAGGAAGCTGATGGATGTTTCTCTCTCTCTCCCCTTTTCCCTTCCTCTCTCTCTAAAATCAGTAAAAACATATTTTAAAAAACTAAAATTAAAAAAATTAAAAACATCCTCAGGAAGGATTAAAAAAATTTTTTTTTAATTTAAAGAAACTAATTCAGAACCCAGAAATCTGAATTTCTGCCCTGATGCTGCAACCAAGTATCTACTTATTTCAGACTGAGATTCTGCCTTTATTGAAAATTTTGGTGGCAGTTCTACCAATGCTTTGGGGAGAAAAAAAGATCATGTAAATAAAAGAAACAGTATTATCTTTGCAACAAGCCTCATATGAATCAATTTAGGAAGTAACTGAAAAGAAAAACATAATTAAATGTAGGTTATATATTTTAAGTTTATTTTTACAGTAATCACATTTATTTTTAATCCATTCCAGGAGAATTAAACTCTCCTAAAACCAAGGTCAAATTACCAAACCTTTATAATACTTCCACATGAGGAATTAATAAGAAAATTACTCGAGCCTAATTATGACTCTGCAGGCCAGAAGAACCTGTGAGGTGCAGATACTGGGGGCGGGGAGGGAAGACCACTGCGTGAACTAGTTTCAAATACAGTGCCCAGCAACATCACTGCCCTTACTAAGAAGCAAGGATTTAGTAAGTACCTTAGTATTTAAAAGGTTCAAGATTTGACAATTATTATACATTTATGTCCAAAAACCAAATTTTTTTTTTTTTTAATCTTCCTAGCCTTTACGTAAATATCCCAACCATTTAAAATCATAGCTTACGAGTGTCGGATATAATAGGTTGTTCTGGCAAACTACAGCCAAATAGGATAGTGAGAGTGTATGTTCATTCAATCTAGTAAGGGCAGAAGTCTACCAAATGTACCGCTAGGAGGAATGATTATCCATTTGGAGGGCGATCTGGATCCGCGCAGAACTCGCAAGAACTGGTTGCGAGTGGCAGGGCACGTCCACGTAATGAATTTGCAGTTTTGCTCTGCACAGGCTGTAGTTTGCAAAAAACCCTGTGGGGATGAGGACCGGTGCCAGGACAACCTGAAAACGCCAAGATACGCACCACCTGACTGCGGGAGCGGTCAGAGCACAGGCACCTGAGGGCTGCAGAAGCACGGCGTCCTCCGCACCTGGCCAGCCCTCTCCTCGGCGGCAGCGGGGCAGTCCCTACCGGAGGGACTGGGGCAAGGCGACCCGATTAAAGAACACTCAGCGGGTGGCGGCGGAAGACTAACCACCAACCTCCTCAAACCTCCTCACCTCCACGCTCTGTTCATCCATCGCCTCCGTCTCTCGGCGGGGCCTTCGGCGACCCGCGGAGTCCGTGGTCTGACCTTTTAGGCGCCGGCCCGAGGTCGCCAGTTCAAATTGCCGCGGAGAACCACCTGGCGCCCACGTCAGGAGGCTCCAACGACCGCCCCACTTGCGCGCCCCATCGCTTCAGGTTCCGCGCCAGCTACCCCCACTTCGCCATTTTTATCCGCGTGCCCGCCCCAGGGAGTAGTGGGAGGGCTAGAGGTGGCAGCAGATCTTTCCTCCCGGCTCAGCCGCCCGCCGGGGACCGCGAAGCAGCCTCTGCCCACGTGACGCGGGGCGGGCGCGCGCGTACGAACCGCGGCTGAAGCGGCGCCTCAGGTCTCCAGCGAAGGCGCTGCAGGGAATTCACAAACACCTACGGTAACCAGGGCAGCTGGAGGCGCGGCGGCGCGGGGCGCGCATGCGCACAGGACGCAGCGTTAGGGGAGCGGAGCGGAGAGGCGGGTACCTAGTTCCCGCGGTGCCGAGGCGCACACGAGATTTGGCGGTTCAAAGCTGCAGGAATGCGAGCCTCCGACCCCTGGATAACGCCGGCCCTGGCAGGGCCCCGCCCTTCGGGGGTGTGGCCTCGCCCCGCCCATCTCAAAGTTGCGCGCGCCAGAGCGGAGCCACGGGGAGCGCCTGTGAAAAACGTGAACTGCGGAGCCGCACCCCTGCGGCGCCAACAATACCGCGTTCTCTGCCACCTCTGGGGGCTGCAGGGGGTCTATGGCTCGCCCCTAGCGAAACCGTGGTGCAGAGGCTTTCTGGCTGGTGGTATTTTCTCCAGGAGGAAGCCCAGTCTCAGGTTTTTGAGACTTCCGCTCCACCCATCGAAGCGAAGCTCCAGATTCTAGAGCCTAGAGCGGTGGTTTCTCATTTCGGGGGTGGGGGAACGGGCCCACAGATTGTGTCGACGACGGAACACCCACAGCACACCCTGCATTTCTTGCCGCTTGAGGTGTGCTGTGGCCATGAGATTATACAAAGTGCAAAAGGTATCAGCTGTATTCAGCTTTCCTATATTGGCGGCCGCTTTCCACAATTCTGTAGCCTAGATGTTTTCAATATTGCAGGAATTGGAGGTCCGAAACCAGGGGCGTGCATCAAATCCTTAACTTGAATTTGATTTTTTCTTTCTGGTTTGTTGCAAACTATTATACGTAGCCCAACCTAGAATGCATGTGTAGAGAATCAACAATAACCTAGAAAGTTCTTGAATATTAAAGCATTTGGACTTTATAATTAGTGGGCAACAACTTTTTTTTTTAACTACGTGAGTCGTCGACAAAGATAATTTAGGAAGGTTAATTTGTGACTGAAAATTCTTATACCAAAAATTATTTATGTATAGGAACAATATCGGTTACTAAGGTGTAACTTATTTTTCTGTAATTTAAAAAAAAGGAGGGGGGCTTTCTTGAAATATTCAAACTAGACAGGACAACTTTAACTGGAGCTACTCTCTTAACCCTGTTTGTCAGCTGTTGTAAGTTGGCCAATGGGCAAATATATGGCCATAACAGAAAATTTAAAAATTATATTAAAGTATAATCTGTAACCCGCAGACCTAACATTTGATGCATTTTTCCTACTCCTTTCAATGCCTCATTTTCATTACACATAGGGAAATATAATTTATTGAAGGATTATTAAATATCCTTCAATATTTATCCTTCAAAACCAAATAGCATTTCATTATGCTTCCAACTATCCAGGCACACAGAAGTTAAGTGATTGGCTCAGAATCACACAGCTGGAATTTAACACCTGCTATTTACATCTCAGATACGATGTCAAAGCCTAATCTTAACTTCAAAACTGCTATATCTGCTTCCACTCCCCCATTCAGCATTTCCCAGAACAGTAACAGTAATAATTTTAGGCAACTCTGACCTCTTACTTTCCTATTTACCTGCTATTAGCCAGATGTGTGTGTATCGCTATTATAAATAATCCTGTGGTCAACATTTGTATCAAGATCTGTCCCTACTTTGGACAATTACCTTACTGTCAAGTTATTTAAAAATAAGTAGAGAAATACATACAAATACACACAAAACTGGCAAGCAGCAGTTGCCAATGCTCTTCTGATTTCAATTTCTTAGCTTTCACATAGAACAAACAATTACAGTAATATAGGCTGAGGAGAACAAAGGTGGCATTGAAATACAACAGGGACAGCCTAAAACAGCATTTGAAAGCAGAACTCATGCTGCTCAACATTAGCAAGCAGAAGGAATAGGACAAAAATAAAAGTGAGGCTGTCACAGAAAAACCAGTTTATTACAAAAGTTAAGTTTTATGGGCGACCATCGGTCACACAGCAGTCTCACCGATAATGTGACCACATACATCTTCAATCAAAATTTTCAAAAACAGAAAATTCTATACATATATATAAAATGTATAATATAATACAAATATTTTTTCTATCTTTTAATTTCCAATGCATGCTCATTCATATTTGACTGATAGTACATAAACATTCTTTAATGATAGCCCAGGACATCTGTTATCCTGATTATACAAAAACAGATGCAAAATAATGTTAAGACTTTCTTGCCTAAATTGCAAAACTAAGCGTGTTTGCATATATTATTTAAATGCCTTTTTTCCCACTCCATCCTTTTGACTGAAATTTATTCATATCTGCCCTTCTTATACTCCTCTTTCTTGTGAAAGGCATCAGTATCTAGTTACCCAGGCTAAATCTTTTCTTTTACCACACCCCACCTCTAGTTACCAACTGCTAATAAGACATCTTCCTAAATTTCTCTGGAATTGATCTCTTTTCTCCACTAGGGTTCCCTTTTGCAAGTCTATTTCTTCATAAGTCTGGCATGTGAGATTTTAATTGCTGTACTGCAGTTTTCTCTTCTTCGGTAAGTGGTGACAGCTAGAAAACAAATGACAAAGTATTTAAAAACTGTTAGAGGCTTCAACTATACTTTAATTAAAAAGAAACTAAAAAAAAACGCCTTTAAAGGCTGTTACTTTAACTTCTTTATCACACCAATGTTTTCATAAGCTCATGCCATGTATATGGTCACAAATTTAGGAAAGCAGGGAAAAAATAGATTATTTGACTACCTATGTACAAAGTACTTTGATGTTTGAGCTTCCAAAGAACTTGCAATTAAACTGAAGAAACAAGACCAAGAAATCAAACAATTTAAGGACTACAACTGAACAGAACCAAAGAAGTCAAGTTTGAATGCCATATGTAAAAGTATTTTGATAAAGAAAGGTGAACAAAAATAATCTGGAAGATTCCTCAGAAGTAGAAACTTGGGCTAAATTTTAAGGATAATTAAGATGCTTTTAGCTGCAAGTAAAAGAAACATTTCAAAATGGATATTAAGAAAAGTTATGATTACAAAGTAAATACAGAAGGGCAGACTTCAGGGCTGGTTTATCAGCAGATAAGGGCTCAGTTTTTCCCATCTGATATCCTTGATGGTGGCTTTCTCCTCAAGCTGACAGGAAAACAGATCTAGCAGTGCTAGGCATCACACCATACAAAATGTTTAGAAGAAGAAAAGTTTTCTCAAGGCTCTCTCAGCAGTGAGGAAACTTCCTACTTCCAGACTTTCTCTCCTCGCATGTCATTTGGGTTACAAACCTATTCCTGAATCAAGTTTAGCTAAAGGGAAATCCATTCCCCTTGCCAATCGGGCACACACTGAAGCTGAGGGTAGTGCCAACTTTATCTACCTCAGGCATGAGGCTGTGAGGGACACACATCTCAAGAAAATCGGTACTCTGTAAGGCAGGAAGGGAGAACAGATGCTGAGAAAACCTGCCAACAGTATCCACAAAAGCAGGTAGGAGCAAAAGCAAAGGGGAGAAGAGAAGCTGAGGGGAACTTGTAAAGGATTTTCAGAGCACCAACAAACAGGCTGGATGAAACAGTGCTATATGGGGAAATAAAAGAAGGCAGAACCTAAAGAATCACTCACGCAGTTACAAGTCGGCCTAACTATATACAGTGGTCCCAATATATGTTCCAAGACCCACAGTGGATGCCTGAAATTGGAGAGAGTTCTGAACCCTATATATAGGGTGTCCCAGAAAAACATACACACTTTAACAGCTGATAGCTCAATTTTGAAAATGAAGTGTATTTTTAATAAACACTGCCTTTATAACTATTCAAAGTGTGTGTATACATTTTTTGGGACACCCAGTATACTATGTTTTTTCCTATACATACATACCTATGATAAAGCTTGATTTATAAATAGGCATAGTAAGAGATTAACAATAACCAATAATAAAATAGAACAATTAGAACAATATACTGTAATAAAAGTTCTGTGAATATGTTCCCTCTCAAAATATCTTCTTGTACTGTATTCACCCTTTCACTTAAAGGAAGCACTTTATGGCTTCTCTTTGGCATGTCCCAATTGCCAGCATCACTACTCTTGCATTAAGTAAAATAAGGGTGACTTGAACACAAGAACTGCAATCCTAAAACAGTTAATCTTGTAACTGAGGTAGCTACTAAGTGACTAATGGGTGGGCAGGTAGCATATATGGAGTGGATACGCTGGACAAAGGGATGATTTCCATCCCCAGGCAAAATGGAGTGGGACTGCATAAGATTTCACCATGCTAGTTAGAACAGCTTCAAATTTAAAATTTATGAATTGTTTATTTGTGGAATTTTCCATTTGATATTTTTGGACCATGGGTAACTGAAACTGGGGAAAGCAAAACTGTGGATAAGGGGACTACTTTAGGTCATCCCTAGAGACACTGCCAAATCTAGAACACCCCGTAACTACATAATTAGAATCTCTAGGGCAGTGCTGTCCAATGGAAATGTTTGTGATATTGGGAATATTCTATATCTGCACTGTCCAATCAGTAGATAAAGAACTGAATTTTTCATTTTATTTAATTACTTTAATTTATATAGCCACATTTGGCTATTGGATGGCCCAGCTGGTTTGGCTGATCAAGCCAACATTTGCCCCAAATTCATATGGATTAAATGAAAAACAGTCAAACACCTTACCTTATTGCAGCTGAAGTAGTTACAGAATTTCCCTCCTCTATCTCAAAAATAGGAAATGGTATTATTCTGGCAAGACCTTGATTTGTACAAATCTATGTTGTTCTTTGTGATCACTGTTCAAGAGATTTCAAACCATTTGTTTATTAGTCTTCAGCCCCACTGGCATGGCTCAGTGGGGCTGAGAGCTGACCCATGAACCAGGAAGTCACTGGGTGGGTTTCCAGTCTGGCACATGCAGGGGATTCTGGCTTGATCCCCAGTAGGGGGCATGCAGGAGGCAGCAGATCAGTCTCTCTCAACCTGATGTTTCTCTCTCTCTCCCTCTCCCTTCCTCTCTCAGAAATCAACAAAAACATATTTTAAAAAATAAAAAAAAAGTCTTCAAAGAATTTTCCCAAGAATTAACCAGTATAAGATTTGTAGAAATTTTTCTTATTGAACACAAATGTCTTGAAGCATCAATGGAATATCACATAACTTTTAATGCCTTTTTAATTTTCTATTTATTGCTTTTTCTGTACCACTTTGTAACCTCAATCAGAAATATAACATCTATGTATTGGATCCAGTGGAGAGAATTTTTAGAAAATATTCAGAATATCATTTTTTTTCTTTCTTCACTCGCCAAAATTTATTCTGTGCTTCAATAAATGTATGGATTTCTATACATATATTTTGGTATGTACAGCCAGAACTACACTTAATCTCCCTTCAAGATTTATTTCCTTAGAACAAGTTTATATGCTTCTGCTGTCAGGCTCTGATCACATACAATGAAGAATATGTGATTTGAGTTGTAGTTATGAAAGGTTATCATATACATACTTTTTTTTGCATTCTATATATTAGCATGTGACACCGCCCTTACTGGATTTTTATTTTTTAATTTTTATTTATTGATTTGAGAGAGAGGAATGGGGAGGAAAGGGGAGAGAGGGAGAGAGAGAAAAATCGGGAGAGAGAAAGAGGGAGAAGGAAACATCGATTTTTGTTCCACTCACTCATACACTCACTGGCTGATTCTTCTATGTAACCTGATCCGGGATCTAACCGCAACCTTGGGGTGTCGGGATGATGCTCCAACCAACTCAGCCACCCAGCCATGTCCACCCTTACTGTTTTAAATTCCTATTCCTTATTACCTCTGTGCCCTTTTTAATTGCTCTTTCTTCCTCCACTATTCATCTCCCCATGACATAACAAAAACATCTAAGGTATCATTTTATATTTTTAACCAGGTATTGTTTTCATTGGCAAAAAATATAATAAAGAACTCTTGATAAAATTGGCCTGGGAAATCCACCTTTGAGATTTACTCTAGCTTCAAGCCCATAATTCAAGTATCGTACAACATAATCTAGTGCAGAGTTGGTAAATAAATATCATGATGCTGCCCCTAGTAGCACGCCCACAGCAGACAGCTTCTGTGCCTTGCCCAGACATAGTTCTTTAGTATAGCACTCTAAACAGCTATGACCAGTTAATTGATTGTTGTTGGCACCTGAGATAAAAATGTATTGACCATCTTTTGTCCAGATAATTACGTTCTATTCTATAATTCCACCTACAAACAGTGTATCTTTTCTTTCAAAGGCTCCCAACTTTGTCTTAATAGTAAATGAAAATACTACCAAATCCTTCAGTTGGCTCTTCAAGATGTTAGTGTCTAGATCAGCAGCTCATATTCCTTTTTTTTAAACTCCAACATATCTGAAGAGTTTTACAAATCAGTGATAGAGGCTCACAAATGAGAAGGGGAGGGGAACGGGGAATGGAGGGAGAGAGGGAGGTCAGGCTTATCCAAGCCCACCAACCCAATTAAAGGAATAGAGAACTAAAAAAAAGTCAGTTATAGATGCTTCCCAGATTTCTCAGTCTCACTAGTTCTTATAGAACCAACAGAGCTGGTAGATTTAATAAATATTACCACCTTTTCTCTTCTGCCATGGCTACATAATCCAAGACAGCATACCTCTTAATCAACCATGCCACGTCCACATGCTCATTTTAAAATAAAAGGAGATAATAAAATAAAAGGGAATCAAGAAAATCTCATTTCTATACACAGTTCAAACTGACTGCTGGATTTTAAAATGAAAGTTACTGAGGGTTTACCTTTCAAAGCAATACTCAGAATAAAAACACTACAAATCCAACATATCCACTGAAAGCATTACCTCCAGGTCTGTTTGCTTTTGTAGTTCTTGTATCATGGTCATAGTCTTATTGAAAGTAGCACAAATGCGGCTCTTAGTCTCTTTCTGCTCGTCAGCAATTGGCTTAAAGCGTGCATGCAAAGTTTGATATCGAGACTTTATTGCTGACAATTCCTGTAAGAGTGTAACTGGATTTTTCTACATCAGGAAAAAAATTGATATATATTAAATTGTGGAAATGAAAAAGTAAGCTTCATTTAGTAATTAAAATATATACAACACGTTCTACCATCCATTCAATCAAGCACTGTATTTTATTATGCAACTGTGTAACAAGGATGGAGAAGGGGAAGAAGTCTAAGACCTAGATTCTATTCTCAAGGGATTTAAAGCCTAGGTACAGAAGTACAGCATAGGGAATATAGTCAATAATATTGTAATAATTATGTATGATGTCAGGTGGGTACTAGAATTATTGGGGGGACCACTTTGTAAATTATATAATTGTGTAACCACTATGCCATACACCTGAAACTAATATAAAATAATACTGAAATGTCAATAATTGAAAAATAAATAAATTTTAAAAGCCTACGTACAGAAATAGCCCACAAAAAAAGCAATATTAAACAGCAAGTAAGGTCACTTTATATACATATTTGATGTATAGTTCACAACAATGAATTAGTTTTTCTAAAATACAATTCTAAATGCTATTCAGATGATGATTAAAGGAACAATATTGATTTGTTGTTAAATAAGACAACTTGAAACCACTTATAAAATTCTTAAACATACTGCCATGGGGCTAAAGTGTATATAAATACCAATTCATTGACTTCACTATAAAAACTCATGCCAACCCAAGCAACTGTATTTATATATTATATTGGTTTTTCAAATTCTTTTTGGAATATAACCACTATTCCATAAAAGACATTTCATTTCAACTGGGTCCTTGCTGCCACTTGGTAATTCCTTTCATTCCCTGATGGTTCCTTACTTAGCAAACCCTCCAAACTAGCTATTTCAAACTTTCTCCACTTCCTCCAATTTCCATCTACTCCTTCCTGCCATAAGACCTATTTTACTGAGAAGGCAGAGAATTCCATCTCCCTGGCTTTTATCCCATCTTAAAACATCTATGGACATTCTCATCCATACTCAGCCCCCTGACACTACCATTGTTATTGTTGTTTCCTCCCCACATCCCCCATAACTTAAATTTCCTATTATTTCAATAACTTTTTCAATACACTGACTCAAATGGTTCTTTGGCCAGTCATTAGGCGGTACCACTGAACCAGAATTGGTTGGTTGGTTGTTCTTCAATCAGAGAGAAAGGAAGGAAAAAAAAACCAACAAAGGAAAAGCTAAGTCAGTTAAGAAGCTATAACAGTTCTAGTAAGGAGTTAGAATGTTCAGTAAAAACTAAATACTCACAATGCTTTCCCAATTGTATATAAAATATTATTTTAATTTGCACTTCCACTCAATCAAAAAAATTTTAATTGTATAAAAATTTTTGAAAACCTGTGAAGTATGATATTTCTTGTCTTCTGGTAAGTGCTATCAGAGATAAACATTAATGATTCAAGTAGCAAATTAATGTTAACAGACAATGCTTAAAAACTGCTTTCATCTCCATGGGCACGTGTACAAGTAGTTATGGCATATAAACAGAGTTAATATTTCTAAATCAACCTAAACTTAGAATAACTAAGTACAAAAATTTATGTAAAAACCACAGTTCACATAACAAACTGAACAATACATCATCATTTTCTTTCAAAGACTATCATTACTGCCAAGATTTCTCCCCTCTTATTTAAAGATTGCCCTAGAGGTATCTATATTCTCTGTCACAATTTCATAATTTCCACAATGGCTCGTATCTCCTGACACAATAGTTCTTGTTTAAGGGTTTAAAAAAGCTACAAATTTCCTTAACTTTGTGTACAATAGTATGCTCTAGTATGCTGTGACCAAGTTTCCAACATAAAAATATTTTGAGATTCTATAAATTTAGTACTTAACACTGTAATTGTTATAATCATTACTATTAGAAACACTATCAGAAAATCTTTTGATAAAGCATTCTGTTAAACAGACACTGAGTTTGCAGATTACCTCGCCTGCTGAATCAGGATGATTAGTCTTGATTTCATATGCCAGCCTGTATTGAATGTAATCCAGATCAGAGTCAGCTTTCTGGAACTAAAAATCAGCATTAATCATCATTTTGTGAACCAAAAGACTTATTAATAAACATGGTACTAAACTATTCTTTCTTTTCTCTTTATATTTTTGAGTATTTTAATAATGTGATATACAACTAATTTTGAAAATACGGAAATAAAAGAGTACAAAAAACCTCCATGGTCTATAATACCCAGGCTCTATTAAAAATTTTTAAAACTAGTTAACATTTTGAAAATTATTTCTCTATGCATCTCTCTTAGATTTCAAGCCAAAATTAAAATACCAAGAAGCCAGTGTCATATGTTAATACAAAAACTAACAATGGCTTCAAGAATTCCCTAGGGTTACTGACACTCTCATCAGTTAGGCATTGGTTTTCTATCTCTGGTAGGAAAAGTGGTTTCAAATTAAAACACAGAACAAATTTATTTTCAGGGATACTTAGTTTTCATTATCTGCAACCCCGTTAACCACAGAACTACAGATTAATGTCACAAAGACCAAAATTAGAGATCTTAGAGTCACAAATTATACAAGGAAAGCTGCGTATTCCACAGAAGTAGCAGTCTGAATAGCCCCAATTTGAGGGTAAGTCCTAGCATGGAATCTTCACTTGTAGTAAACCTCTAAGGGAGAAAAAAGGGGAAAGCTGCCACAGGCCTAAATATGTGTGTGTACATATAGGAAAGCTGTAAAGGATATCTAACACAGTGGGAGAAGTGGTTTATGTGAATGTGGCTAATCTATCAATTATTCATAACTTTTGGAAATTCGCGTCTTTTACATGATCTTAAAGCAGGTACTGTCCTGTATGTGTCAGGCAAACACCCATGAGTTTGAGATGGACGCCCTAAGTAGTCACTTGTCATTAGTGAAGTCAGCAGGGAATAAGCAGGGGACAAAAAAGGAAAAACGACGCCAACGCAATGCTGAGAAACAAAAGAACAGTAAAGATTCTCTGATCCGAACCCTTCTTCTTACAAATGAGGAAAGAGACTGTGACTTGCCTCTGGTTCTATTTTCATTACTCTGTTTTTTATGAAGTTAGACCACAGTTACATATAACATTAAAGTCAATAAAAGTCACATAGATGGGGTGGGGGGGGGG